ACAATGTTATTGAATGATTTGAAGTGCAATACAGGATATATTCTGTCTCGATATTAAAAAAGTTTCTCTCTTTAATATTTGACTTTTTTCTACAATATATTAAAGAATGATTTCTAGTATTCCATAAATTATCCTGACTTATCTTTAAAAATCTTGAAAATTGACACAAATTGTTTATATGTTAGTAATTGTAGGCACAGCTGTACATGACGGTCTCTTGATACCTTCTAACTTAATATTATTTCACTCTCGTTGATAAAGATAGGAATGAAATTATATAGCCTTGGCTCAAGGGTGGTTAATACAAGAGCAGATGCCTCTTATATGCTTTGATTCCACAATTGAATTTTATGTGTCAGACACTAACACAAATCCACTAATCCTCTGATAGCTAGTCTATTCTACAGTTTATAGCTTGCCATATGAGACCTTGCTTCATAACAATTGAATTCCACGTGTCAATGTCAGCTGACGTAAAAATAATGAGATCACTCTCTTTCAAATTCAATTATTTTCAAGAATCCTGATGTTACCATGGCGTTTACATATTTTTTATCCTTTTAGCTATTTGATATCTATTTGCTTGAAAGAAAGCTATCCTTTGATTTGAAGGAGGTCAGTACTTTAATTTGTAGAAAACCAGGCCTATCCTTTCATTTGAATCAAGCAAGTCCTTTCCCTTGGAAGAAGCCAGTCCTTTCAAGGAGTAGGGGGAGAATTTTATGATCTCATCATATAATCCACCTCCTTCTCAATATATACCGATAACTAAAAAATTGATATCACCATAAATGAATCCCTTTTAAAATCCCCATATAGAATTTAGTCTGGATCCATTTACTGGTCTACGCCAGAATCTTAAAGAGTTGATCAAAATAACTATTCCTGCTCCTTCTATCCAATAGTATAGTTTCTAAATAGCTGAAAAGTGCTGACATAATAGATGTCACTCTTGTTTGTCTTTGATTTTCTAGGGCCAGACCTCCACTCACTCCAATGTAAGAAACTTGTAACAGTCACTTAATTGCATGATTTATCAAAGAGTGTATACAGCAAAACCTGGCTAATCTGAACATCTCTGAGACTGGCAAAAAGTGTTCACATTAGCAGGTGTTTACATTTCAACATTTTATAAACATTTAAGTCAATGGGAGATAACAACTATGGGACCAAGTAAAAGTGTTCACATTGAGAGATGTTTAGATTAGAGAGGTGTTCAGATATACATGTTGCATAATACTGACAAAGCAGAAATCTCTTTTTGCATTAAAATCATTGCAGTACTTATTTATATGTATTTGTACAATATATGTTATTTGTTAATGTTTTCCCATAAAAAGATGTATTTATCTTAACATAACAATGAGTTGTCTCACAGTTATTGAATGGATTAAATGATTTTCTATAAAACATAACAATATAACAATTAATTATAAACGTGCTAGTTATGATTATTGGAGATACAATTTAACTGATTTAGTAATAATTGATGCATATCACAATTGTGCATATTAATTCAGGGATTTAACAGCACATTGCACTGAGTTGAAAATGACCTTGCATCTACTGTAGTTGGGAAAATGAAAATGACCTTGCAATCAGTTGGGAATTTGAAAAATGATCTTGCACCCGGCTGATTGTTTGAAAATGACAATACATGCCAAGTTGGAAATAAGATATAGAATTGCATCCATAAAAATAAGTAAAATGATCTTGCATCCTTTTAAATGTTGCAAAGATCACAAAATTCCAAATCAGGTGGTTTTCAAAGAATAGTCTCGCTTTTATAACTCTCACTATAATCTGCCTGGTCCAGGTAATTTAACCATGAAAAGTGAAAAGTGATGATTATTGATAAAAATATTCCAGGGTATCTCAACCATGCAACAATACAGTGGCATCTGTAATATGATGTTGAAGTACATTTCTAATATTACAAATTTCCTGTAAATGTGAATGGCCTGAAGTATTCCAATAGACAAAACTAATAAGCAAATAAAAGAAGGAATCACCAAGGAAACGTGTATAGTACTGTAAATTGCTGGTAGTTGATGCTCATAAAAATGCCAAATAAGGCACTAAAACATGCAAAATATCCTCAACAACCATTTGTTATAGCAGCCAACCATTGAACTCCAGACATCAACCACCATCCACAAAAACATTGGAGACCATACAATAAGTCGCCACCTACTTATGGTGGTGATATAAAAGCCAGACTTTTGTTGAGTATAGACATTCTCCAAATACAAGGGTCCAGAGATAGACATCATCTACTTTTTACTTATTTAAGATTCATGAAATTTGACAACAATATGTTAAACTTAAAAGACGTATAAAAAAAATTATTTCAATTTTTATTCTAATACCAGTTTAAGTCAAAACATCTGTTACATTTCCATAGCAATATACTCAATCATGTAAGACTACTTTATAAAAGATTGATACAAGTGTATATGCCCATATATGGAGTCCGGGGTCTCCCCAGGATTTCTTCAAATGAGTGCAAAATTCTCATTTTCACAAGTCTTTTCACAAGGTTCACAAGTTTTCACAAGATCTTTCTGCCATTTTAAACTTTAAGTAAGTGTGAAGATTCCAAGGTATGCGCTAACCATTTTTGACATCACATAATGGTACAACACAAACTTAATTTAATCCTGGAGAGATCACTGAAAACAGTAAATGAGCGATCAGGGAAGCTTTCAGTTTTAAATTCTGTAACATACTGTTTTGCAAAATCAAGGTTTAATGTATAAAATATTAATAAATGATTCAGTGAATACATAAAATACTGGGTAGGTAATATAAAGAGAATAGTTATGTCAATTGACTATCATGCCATCTTTTTTAGAATGGATACATCTTTCGCTATAATTCATTTCTCAAGACAAATTTCGATTTTAGTAATTCTGACTATGCTGCAGGGGTGGGGTACTACAGATTGAAAATCGAAACATTAAAACATTAAACAAGGCATTAACATGTAAAATGTCACCACCTGGCATTTGTTACAGATGCCGGTCATCAACTGCCAAACACCATCCACATAAAGTTGGAAACTATAACAATATATCACTACTTGTGGTGATGACATAAAAGCCAGCTAGAAGAGTGAGATGGAAAGATGTTCATATTGAAAGGTTCCTGAGCATCAGAGCTTAGGTAAGGTCATCAAGAGAGATCATGGTCTGCTATAAGTTCCTTTCTAGAGAGTCATGAGAGAGTTTAAGTCGATCTTCTATCTAACACGAGCTAACCTGTACAGTTTTACTGAAACTGAACAGTGACCATGAGTGTCATTGCCATTTTGATGATACCGCTATCTGAACATTTTCCAGAGCCCTTTCCAAAAACTCTCTAAATTATACATGATTGAGGACACAGGGGGAATATGAGGTGTTTTCATTCATACGGTACAAAAATGACATTACAAAATCAGAAATCATTACACACACATGAAAGTTCCCACGAGATTTAAATTTCTTGCACCATTGGCAGAATATGGTCACTTCGCAAGCCCGTAGCCAAGGGAGGTTCACAGCATTCAGACAAACCCCCCCTCCCCCGTGGCAAAATTCTTTCAAAATCATGCAGTTTTTCACCATTTTGAAAACTGAACCCCCCATTGGCAAATCCTGGCTATGGGCCTGCTCCGGAAGTTAAACCTAGTCAGACCACAAGGGATGTCAGATTGTTGAACTAAGAATTCTCATGTTCTGATTCTGAGAAGTGAGACCGTTTTGGGTACCCCCATAAATGTGGGGTTATTTGGAGGTTCTTTGATAGTTAGGACATTTATTTCTCAAAATAACCCCACAACGTTTAGGCTTTGATTCTTTGCGGTTTTTTTCACATGATTTGAAGATTCAAGTTCTGACAATATCGGCAGTTTCCATACCCTTTTTCTTCTCCTCTGTGAAGAAGATTCTTTTTCAAATGTAATGAGCGATCGATCAGTCGAAACGATGGTTTATAACTGGAACAATTTGCTGTAATATTTGACTCTCGAAATCTATTCAAATTTTGGCCATTTTTGCGCGTTGTATTTTGGGTGGAATTATGTGGTAGATGGGAAACTTAACAGTGCCAAACGAAATCACCTGTCAAATTAATAACACAATTATTGCTTATGCCTAAGTTCAGGAAAACAAAGGCCATAGACGTTACAGCGGCCAAACTTGAGGTTGACAGTCCTTTTAATACACCCCGGAAGGTGAAAATCATTTTTCAAAATTTCCCTCCATTTTTACTTTTGGATTTCGTATTTACGCGAAGTTTGTTATTTAGATGAAAAAAATATCGACTGTGCATGCCCGAAGTACAAATTTGAAAAAACTTTTTCGAAATATCGTCACTCTCAAATTAAATCGTCATTACAAGAATGAATACAACACTTAGAGGGCTATATTTGGTAGCATGTTGAAGATTAATGTCTTGTCGATACGAAAAACATAAAAAGGTGAGTAAATTCTAAAAATATTAGTCTAGCACAAATTCTATGTGTATCGAGAATTTGATTTTTTTAGCAAATCCCAAAGAATCAAAGCCTAAACTTTGTGGGGTTATTTTGAGAAACAAATGTCCTAAATATTAAAAATCCTCAAATAACCCCACATTTACAGTTGGGGACAAAAATAAATGACAGGTCGATTTTCGATCACCATTTCCTAATTATGGTGGTCTGAAAGCCCATAATTTCCAATATTGTATAGATACATATCCCTTAAAATTTGTATATTTTACATTTTGTATAATCTCATCCACTGATTTATGGCCTCTTGTAAATTCTCTTATTTTTAACATGGGAAATCCTCACTTCAGCAAATCCACCTGTCATTTATTTATGTCCCCAACTGTATGTGGGTATTTGGGCGGTAGACAACTTTCACAATTGAAAATTGAGCCAAAGAAAGCAGAATCAAAACGTTTGAGTGTGATTATGGGGATGTATCCAACGTGTGATAATATATTCATAATATTAAAGGCATTTTACTTACCTCATTTAAGTGTACCACGATCGCTAAAAATACAGTTACAAATGTAGGAAATATGCAATAGAGGCAATCTGCGCGAGATTCCATTTTTTGGTTCGGTTTTTAGCGCATGCGCAATAAATCCAGCAATTTAATTGGTTAAAATTATTATAACGCATGCGCAATTAATAACTAATAGGAACATTTAATTTGAGATAGATGTCACTTACGTTCATTTTTTCACAGCAGTCCCTACCCATGATGCACCATATAGTGCGGGAATATTTTTGTTTATTGTCAAAACAAAAAGTATGCACCCAAAACAAATGTAATGACATAATATCAACCTGCCCCGGATTTGTAGACGTATGTTGAACAAACTTAAACCGAACCGATGGCAGAAAAGCACTTTGAATCATGGGAATGAATTACTTCCTTTAATGGAAAACCGAACCAAGTAAAAACCGAATCTCGCGCAGATTGCCCCAACTCGAAATATGCGGGTTTGTTGTAGCATCCGCGAATCGTCACTGCGCATGCGTAATTGAAAATTGATCTAGAATGTAAACTTTTTGAAACAATGTTTGAAAGAATAATTCTCTCATCAAACATTGTATTCACTATTATCAATACAAATAAATTATTTGAACCTGTGTTCTCATGAAAATGGTATAAAAAAGCACTGAGGCTAGTTAAAATTTAATCAAATGTTATTTTCGATTATTGATATCCACTAAGTTTGAAATTTAGATGTAGTTCATGGGATAACTCCAGCCAGGATTTATTTATCTCTTTATTTATGTGTTTCCTATGTCATTCTGAATTATGGACACATTCACACAATCTTGAGAGGTAGCTCCTAATGTGGCGTTCCAGATAGGTAACTCAAATTTGATTTAAAAATGATGTATATGAGTAAAATTATATAAAATGAATCAATTATCGCCCACTTCACTTGACTTGTTAACTTTTAGAAGTTAAAACTTTTAGAATCCTCATTAGCCAACACAGTCTATACCTCCATGTTCTGCTTTACAATTTTCTTGACAACTTTCACTCTGAAAAATATTGAAAAATAAAAAATATATACAATATTCACCATGTATCTCCTATTCGATAGGTCTTTTGAAAACGTTATCTAGCACCGAGACCATCTATACATTTTGGTGTTGCACGCATATAATAGTTCCACAAGTTGTTTTTCAAAAGTCAAAAAATATTTGCGCTAGCTAGGCACATATTTCTTGCCTCATTCGATTCTAAAGACCCGCCTAAATGTTCTCTCAAAGCAATCGGCTGTACTGAAGTTTACCCAATGTAAACTCACTTCGGGAATGTTTGTACAGTACATTCAGGCTGGTGTTTAGGATCGATTGAGGCAAGGTACAGGGTGTTACTAAATACCACCTTGGTGTCCCCTTGGGCACCTGGATTTCTAATTCCATTTTAAACAACGTACATATTTTAAATATAGTATTATTTCTTTTGTCATATTGACTTGACATTGAATAGGCTTGAAATAATAATTTGTAGTCGAGAATATAGCAAAGAAGATTCGAAAATAAAATGTAAAAAGTTTTATTGTTATAAAATGGGCACCTGGAATTTTGCTCATATGTATGGTTAGTTATTTGTAGTAATAAAACACCATTAATGCTAATGCTAAAGTGTGTATTTATACATGTATTTGAAATATATATATTGTTCATACTTGTTGCTAAAATAGTGAATTTGTAGCATTTTATAGTGAGCAAATAATGAAATATTATTCTTACAAATGACTTTTTCGACATCGATCAAAATTTTCAAGACAATTGTCATAAACAAACAGAAATATTTACACAAGTTCCGCAAAAATACTTTATTATGTACCATATTAACACTTGGAAAAATGTTATCTTGAAATAAAGTAGTAAAATATGCCAGTAAGTCATTTCAATGGGGACACCTAGGTGTGGGGCACCTAGGTGGTATTTAGCACAACCCAAGAAACATGTACAAAACTAGCACCAATTTTTTCAACTTTTGAAACTTAATATATGGTTCTATGGAAGGTCCGCAAGACCAGAACATGAGATTGTCTTTGCACAATATATTATAACTAATCCCCAAACTGTGGCAAAATATCCAGGGTTTGTAGAAAAAACAGGGCACTGGGTACTTAATTCTCCATGCAGGGATCAAGGTAGGTACCCGGTACCCCGTTGAAAAAACTGGCTACCCTAAAAATGGGTACCTTATAAGTGGCTATCAATTATACAAACCTTTTTAGCCTGCATAGGGTCATAAGCCATTGTTAAAACATTGTATTTTTACCAGAATGAGCTCAGTCCCCCAACAAATTAGAAATGAAACATTACTTGTTTGTAATTTAAGATGAAGACAACAGCAGAACCACAATGTTACATCATTTTATCATCTAGATTTAAAATGGTTAAGCATACATACTTAAGGTGCATGACTGGGATGGTATATTTGGTACCCCTACAGCTGTTTTTATCAAAATTTGTAATTCCCTGTTCAGGTTACATATTAGGTTAGTTTATAAAATATGTTGGTGTTTATGTTGTGTACACGTATGTTTAAGACCATTTAGATCTAGAGGATAAAATGGCCAGAACATTTTTTCTACAATGTTTAAACATGACATTAAATCTTGTGAGCCTGTGCAGGCTGAAAAGGTTCGTTTTTTGGGAACCCGGTGTTTCAACAGGGTACCAGGTACCCAGCTTGAAACCCAACATGGAGGATTTAGTACCTGGTACCCTGTACCAGGTTCCCGTTTTTCTTCTACAAACCCAAAATATTCACATTATCAAGGGAGATGGCATATTTGCTAATAAATTGATAATACTCTTTGATTTCAGAATATATCGCAGTAGATAAATCGGGACAAGAGTAAAGGCAGCATGAAGTCTTGTAAATCAAGGAATGACACTGCTGTTCAAGGCACGAATGACAGCAGCATTGTCAGCAAGTGTTCCATGGCTCATCATGGTTATTTCAATGATGATTACTTAAAGCACTTTGCGGGTAAATGTGGTCGAAGGGCCCCTCTGATACACAGGGGGTACTACATCAGAGCTATGGCGATAGATCACTCTTTGGAACAATTCATCACTCTTACACCAGGAAAGAAACAAATTATATCACTTGGGGCTGGATTCGACTCGACATACTTCAGACTGCAGTCATTGGATAAGATGGACAATTTGGATTTTATTGAAGTTGATTTCCCAAGCGTTATGAACAGAAAGCTAGCTTTGATTAACCAATCAAATTCACTCAAGGATTTGATTAGCCCTGTTGATATGGAAACTGTCAAATTGACTTTAGAAGCACATGATTTATCAGGTGCTATTATATTGAACACTGAACAATACAAAATGCTTGGAGTAGATTTGAGCAACTTGCGTTTACTACAGGACGTGTTCATGGCTTGTAATATAGACACAAGCATTCCAACCCTGTTCTTATCAGAATGTGCAATAACATACATGCCACTAAACAACTCCGATAAACTCATCCAATTTGCAGCAGAACATTTCCAGAATTCAGTATTTGTATGTTATGAACAAATCAGTCCTGACGATGCATTTGGAAAAGTGATGACGCAGCATTTTATTAATGTTGGGTCACCATTGAAAGCAATTCATCAGTACCCTCAAAAAGAATCCCAAGTTAAGCGATTCACAGATCGTGGTTGGGATAAATGCACGGCAACTGATATGAATGAATTCTATTACAATATACTAGATATGGATGAAACAGAGAGGATGAAAAATCTTGAGATATTTGACGAATTTGAAGAATTTCACCTGAAATGCTACCACTATGTTGTTGTGTGTGCATATAAGGGTACATGTTGCCAGAGAGAGGTTATAAAATTTGATAGAACGTCAGAAATTCTTAAATCAAATCCCCAGGATTCCGTGAGTCTGATCATGCTTTCTGATCTGGAAAAATCCAACACGATATCTGATATGCAACGATTTGGGCATTCTTGCACTGAAGATGATGAGCTGAATGTGATCGTAACTGGTGGCTTTGGAGTACATAACAATGGACACACACGACTTACAGGTGTAACACTGTATAATGTTAAAAGAAATGAAACAGTACAAGCAGAAATTATCAACTCTGATATACTTGGAGCACGTATGTTTCATACGGCTGCGAAACTAGATGATAAAATAGTGATTTTTGGAGGAAGGAAGTCCCCAGCTAAACCTCTCAATGACCTCATTGAATTGTCAAAACTGGAACGTGTGGTCAAAAATGATCCCTCTTCATCTTTGGTTTTGTCTTGCTCAGCAATAGATGTCACTGGAGATGCACCAAATCCAAGATGGCGGCATACAGCTGTTACCTGGCAACAAGGTGATCACACCAAGCTTGTTGTATATGGTGGTTGTGATAAGAATCAAACCATGGGAGATTGTTGGGTGTACCATAGCAACAGTCAACACTGGGAGATCCTGGCTCCCTGTGGAGACTCACCTGGACCAAGACATTCACATACAGCATCAATGTGGACTGGTAACCATGGCAATTATATGGTTGTTGCTGGAGGCTTAGATCAAAATCTTCAACCTCAGAATTCTGTTCACACTCTCAATATGGAGACATATCAATGGTGCGAACTCCCAATCAGGGGAGAATTATTTCATAGATATTCCCACACAGCTCATATATTAGAAGACATGTTAATACTGGTTGGTGGAGTGAATTTAAATTCTCCACCAGGTGTCGCAGTTGTAAATTTATCCACCAGGTTGAGCCAAGAGTTCAGTTTGACCAATCAGAGCCCAAAGATACATTTCATGTTGCATAACCATCAGTCTCTGTTGCTAAGCAACGGAGATGTATTAATCATGGGAGGGGGTGGAAATTGTTTCTCATTTGGAACATATTTTAATCCCTGCTTGGCCAAAATTGAAATGGAATATGTGATTAGTAAATCCTGTTAAAATTTTAGTGAATTAAATTTTTTAGCAAGAACGATTCCAGCTACAGCATTCCATGGGTGTTCCTAAGTTAAGGGAAATGCAGTAATTATTTTGGATTAATGCAAAACAAGTTGTCAAGGTGATGTGATTCATGAGTTTTGTGTTTACTATACTAATCTAGAATTTGCTGTTAGTTTTATATCATATCTTTCAATAAATGATGTAATCGTTACTTTGAATAAATAAATTAATGAAAATGATTTTGTCTTATTAATTCTTATATAAATTGCAATCAGCCTTGCTCCTGATCTGAAAACCCTATACTAGACTTTCTTGAAATAAGGTCATGGGCACTTAAACGAAAAGGAATAATGCCAACATTTCTTATTGATATGGTCTCCAACTTTTTGTGATAGGGTTGGTGCCCGGCATTCAGGTTCTATAACAAATGGCAGGTGGTGACATTTTGCACGTTAATGCCTTGTTTATGTTTTCCTTGGAGAATAATGATTCGTAGTGATCGCAAATCATCAATTGAAAGATGAAGTTCCATTGATTTGAAGCTATTTTCACTCAGTTTGATCATAAAAATATGAAAATAATTCATAATTTAGAGAGTCATATGAGAAAAACTTCCTTGAACTCGTACCTGTGCAATATCATCCATTCGAAGAATTATCAAAGCTCATCAAGAATGGACGATCCATCCTCCTAAGCAGGTATCCAGAATCCGTACCTCCTTCTTCCCCCTGCTATAACCAATTTGGAAGCGCCCGATTAAACTGAATCACGTGATCTTATTATGCGCAATGACTTATACATAATTTCTGTCGCAGTGTTGTGACAGCCAATCAGATTGCGAGTTCTTAAGGCTAAGGAAAGGCTAACTGCTTATCGCAGGGGGTAAAAAGAAAGAATATATTCTGGATTTTGAAGCCCTGTGATCGGAGGATGGGACGATCTTGCACAGGTAGTCATACGAGAACCTCTATATCCAAACACCTCTCAGTGTGACTTCTGTTGATTCACATAAAAGAAACCTTGAAATGTGAACACCTGCTTATATAAGAACATTCCCAGTAGCACTCAGCTTAAACGAGTTTACTGTACTGTAGCGTTTTAATGTGAAAAGAGCTCAAATCACTCTAACATACCTTGCATTTGGTGTTCATGAGCAAGCCATTTGGCTTATTAGTAATTAGTAGCTGTTCCGTATAATGGTTTATCGGATGACTTTTAGATGGTAATAAGGTACTTTCAAAAATATACTAAACAAAAAAATTAGACAAACAGAATATCTTATGCATTTCTAGGAGTTAGGTATAGTAGAGTGCAAATGTACAAACAAAAAACACATTTTTATAGGTAGCAATTTTACAAAATGTACATATTTATTAATTCAACAGATATATAAGTAACATGTACCTCTTGGGTCTCTACAATTTACAAGGACATTTTTTACAATGTGCGCGTCATACTTATCGGGAACCAATTACTGGAAGCATTGTCCTATGACATCATTATATGTTGTCAAAATTCCGTGAGAATATTTTTCCAGAACTGCCCCAAATATTCTACAATATATATATATACGATAATAATATGATTCACTATGTATGTAATTCAAAATTTTTCTAATGATGCACGATGGCATTGATTTTTTATTATTTATTATTATTTACAATATAGGGTTTCTAGTTTCAAGAAAGCCCATACTCCTACAGACATGACTGAAGCAGGACACATTCAGAACTGTGAATGTGATATTACATTGATAGCATTTTTAACAAGGCATTTTGGAAAATGTCACCACCTGCTTTGTTACAAATGCTGAACAGCAACTGCCAAACACCAACTGCTGCCATAAAAAAGTTGGAGACGAGAACACAAGTGGTGACATAACAAATAACTTCAATTTTGGCAAAAACATTTTTTCACTAATGCACACTAGTCAACAATACAAGGGTTTCCATGATAGACTTCTCATTGGAACCCCCATTGTTTTATCTCATGAATGAGTCATTTTTGCTGAATTTTTTGTTTATATGTTGTATTGTAATTATAATTATTACATTAACATGTACTTAAAATATATCATATTATAACCTCCGAGTCTCTATCCATTCATTTGGTTAGAAAAATTCCAGTTTAAATGTGTTTATATTTCCCTTCACAAAATTAAGAATTTCTATATTAATTGTTTGTTACCATGGATATCATGATGTCACAATAAGAGCTCAATGGACTTAAAAATTCTTAACTCACAACATAATTTTCATTAAAACTGCTTTCACCCATGTGATTGTGAATGGACAAGTCATTTATATATTATACAGTACAATACAATACAGTACAGTTTGTACAATTCAATACATGTAAATGTAGTTTCGGTCTCATCATGCAAAGCCTCAGAAAAAGCTCAAAAATTACTGTGCATTGTACATGTTTACTTAACATGTTTTCTAAGAGCTCTGCATTAGAATAAACCTTAAGGTAGACCAAATGGAAACATTTTGGACCTTTTTACACATACGAGTCTATAAATGTAAAGGGCTAAGTGCAAATGTTTTCAATCCAGCCAAAAAGTAGGGGATAATTTATTGTTGATGTCTGACATATGACATACAGGGTGTCCATTAGTGTAACATTTGGATGTGCAATATACATACAGCTACTGGGTGTTCAGGTTTTACAGATTATCTCTGACATACAGGGTCTGTCCATTTGTGTATCATTTGGGTGTACATACAGTTATAGGGTGTCCAGTCCCTGCATTAGATATGTGCCATTTGATACAGTTATAGGCAGGGTTACAGGGTATCCAGTCCCTACATTAGATATGTGCCATTAGATAGCACTGTACAAAAATATTACATGCAAAACAATACATTACATAATTTAAATCAATATACTCATTGATTAATCCAAAAGAGCCTAAATAGTTGAATCCAAAGAAGTCTATAAAGACACACAAAGGAATCTACATAGTTTCCCTAAGGAGTCAACATAATCTCCCTAAGGAGTCAACATGATCTCCCTAAGGAGTCAACATGATCTCCCTAAGGAGTCAACATGATCTCCCATAGGAGTCAACATGATCTCCCTAAGGAGTCAACATGATCTCCCTAAGGAGTCAACATGATCTCCCTAAGGAGTCAACATGATCTCCCTAAGGAGTCAACGTGATCCCCCTAAGGAGTCCACGTGATCTCCCTAAGGAGTCCACGTGATCTCCCTAAGGAGTCAACGTGATCTCCCTAAGGAGTCAACATGATCTCCCTAAGGAGTCAACATGATCTCCCTAAGGAGTCAACATGATCTCCCATAGGAGTCAACATGATCTCCCTAAGGAGTCAACATGATCTCCCATAGGAGCATTCTCAATGTCTCATGTCCCTCTAAATGCAAGTACCTAACTTTGCTAATGTTTGGTAAGCAAAGCATTGCATAAAAAGCATTGCATAAAACTATTTTTCAAGGTATGAAAGTCATTTTGTTAAGAAGAATTTTATTTCTAAAATCTACATCCAAGCTATTTATATACTACCCAGTAGTAGCAGTAAATGTTCCACTTGGGAGGTGTTCCACTATTGAGGTTTAACATTAAGTCAGTTCTTGGGACTCTGAAGTGTTCCACTAACAGAGGTTTTTCACCTCACAGATTTCACTGTATTTGTATTATGCCTACCATGATTACATTGTAATTTTTCAAATCTCAACACACTCCATATAGCTAATCTTCAGCTTTGAGCCATTGTGGCGCTTGGAGAGAGCTGCATCAAAGATATGACATTAGCATTGGTCCATTATATAATATCCCATAATTTAACCCAGAACTTTCCGATAATTTTAGTGTCTCCGTGACTTGACTTGTCTTTACTTCACAACTGGACAATAATTCTGGGAGTGTCGCACTTGAATACAAAACAAGATGTATCTAATTCAGCGTTCCTCTACAGTTTGGTGCTCCACACAGGCATGGAATTTTCTCGTCTTCTAGTGGGAATTTATAATCATAAGTCACTTCTTCATCGACTCCAATATTTTCCTTTGTGTAGATGACAATCTTTTTCAGATTTTCCATAGTTATAATCTTTGCGTAACAGTTTGGCTGAAAACAGATATTATAAGTGAGAAAGATATACAGGGCGTCAAATAAGTCTGTTCTCCCCCCTTAACTTTTTTAATTCAGAGATAACATAGAGTTGGTATATATCATCTTAAAGGGAATTTAATTTGCTGATCACACACCAAATGTCAGAGTGATTTATTAAATTTCCAATTTTTTAGAGTATTTTTAGTGATGTCCATATTTCACTTTTTTAATAGTCTGTATGTCTCCCCCAGCAGCCCGGATGGCCTCAATTCTACAAGGATATGATCCCATACAAATCATTCAGAACGTTTAATTTTGGGTGTTATCAACTAATTTGTGATGAAAGATGCCCCTGCTTCAAAAGCTCTCCCGAATGTAACACATTTTACTCTGTAATGATATTGAGATACATCAAAATCACCCAATGTTGGCATTGTCACTGCAGTATCAACTTTTCACATTTCATTCACTATACCTGGTAATTTTACTTGTTTTGACATAATCAAAGGTCTACTACAACCTCACAAGAAACATTGTAGCAATTTTATTAGGAGGAGTTTATAATTGATTTTTTGAGGGTGATCAGCATTTTCCATGAGCTTCAAAATGATATATGGGAAAGTATGATAAATTTAAAGATAAAAAAGTTAAGGGGGGAGAACAGACTTATTTGACACCCTGTATATATACATAGAGATGACTGTGACTTTGTGAATGATGAAAACACATAATACATTACTACCTGAAACTATGAACAATTTTGTTTAGTATATTTTTATTGCACATTTCCTATAAAAACTGCCACCAATGTTTTTAATTTTAGCCTATGAACTGTATATTTAAATGTATTAAACTGGAATAAAGAAAGGAAAAAATTTAACTTTGAGAATGTTAAAAACACATAGTCAGTACATTACTAAATGTGGTGTACACTTCAATTTGGCATTTCACAAAATCTCAACATGATGCCCAATCTCTGCCAATTTAGATCTCTGTCGGTATTTTACGATCTTTTAACAAGATGCCATATTAAAAAGTCCCCAGTAAACTGAAAACGCTGAAAGCCCCAAGTTAATTTTGAAAATTTTACCTAAATTGCACTACATACTTGGACAACAGACAGATGGATGAATTAAATGGACAGACAGACAGAATGTGATTCCGTAGGATCACCAATTGAGTCAAAATTATAACTTACATTACAACTGTGGTTTATAAATCGAGCCAGATTCCCGCACTTGGTTGCATCAATCACCGTATCATGATCCACACGGAAAAGATAACTACTCCCGATGCCAGAAGCCTCGTAACGTTTCTCACGCAGATCTGCGATTGACTGACGTATATGTTGTCCAACATACTCAATGACCATCTCATTCTCAGCAATGGGTTCCATGGCGAATAGACCCCAGTCGTGAATCCCACTACGAGCAAACTTCAGCTGTTTCTTACGGAACTGAAAAAAGTTATATCGATTGTAAAAATATAATAAAAATGAACCCAAAATGTGAAAAACTTTCGAGTAAGAATGAAAAAAATGCCAATTTGACATCTCATAAGCTTGCAGCTATCATGTTAACAAGTAACGATTTTATTTCCAATGATAGAAGATGTATTTCTGATTATTTGGAAAAAATATACAAACCCTCCAGCTCAGAATTTGAAAAATCGTGTAATACGGCCAATTTTTTTCTTTTTTTAGTTTAGTTTTATTTATTTGCATAATTTTTATATATCACTATTTAACATACTAGGCCAATTCTATTACAATACTTACCTTAAGTTGATTAAATTTGAGCAAATCGCCAAGTTCATATTCAGCAAATGATGTGAGCAGACGTCTTTGCTCTTGTCTGGCTTCACGGGAAATCTGGTTGGCTTTGCGCAATTTATCACTTGATTCCTGAAATGTACAAATATGCTTTATGAAAAACATCCAAAACACAAAAGGTGCCATTATAAGACTGAAAAGTGTGAAAATGAATAAATACTAAAATGTCTTCCCTTTATTTCATACCAAAGAAACAGCATCTAACTAAACAAGCTATTAGCTTTACACCCCGCACATATCCCAAAAGAAATGATTCTGAATTATTCTAAGTCTATAATGCCATATAAAGGCCATTTGCAACCCATTAGGTATAAAAAAATTTTAATGATGAAATAAAATTGTCTATGCATAAAAAAATCATTGAGCAAGTTAATGTTATCCCTAAAACTCAGTGTTACATTTTTCAATCCAATATGGTAATCTTCATCCTTGGACTGGGATAAAACAGATTTTGAAGTTTATTTGATATTCACACAAGTTTATTTGTCTCGTCGTTAACTGAGGTATTTACCTGTAGCCTTGTAGCTTGCTCCTCGGCACTTGGGAGAATATTAGCTGCTTGGCGGGCAGTCTTAATATGGAACATGGCTTCTTTCTTCATCTTGTAGTAGCCCTCTGTCCTAGCACTCCCTGTCAAGAAAATAGTGAATCTCATGAGTTATCTGAATATGGTAATACTGGTGTAACACATATAAGGGTTATGTACTGGGAGGTTTTGGATATAGGGTATATCCTGAGGGATATATTTATATCTCCCCGAGGGACCAAGGAACTTTTTAAAATTTTTGAAAAATTTCCGGGAGCGGGATAGATATATTATATCTGCCCGCAATTTAGCCTGGAGCAGGACAAGCAATATATCCTGCCTGCTCCTCAGATATGATATATATTCCCGGGTGATATCTACCCCAAACCCACTCAAGTATGAGACACACCTGGGTATGATGGAGGGACATGTATTTGAAGCCAATACAGTACATAAAAGCTGTCATCTATGGCAGGTTAAAAATGGGACCAAAAAAGTTTTCACACTGAGGTATTCTGATTGGACAACTTGGACAAGTGTTCTGATATACAGGTTTTAATGGAATGATGGTCATTCCTTTTGTTATATATATGTGCATCATAAGTCTCAATTCAATTGTAGAGTAGTGCATATTTCATGATTTTGATCTTGTACTTGAATATGCAGTTTGAATAACTGCCATTTTCAAACAATTTTGAGTGCTGCTTATTTGTTTATTTTCTAGTTCATACAATCATTGATTCCACAATTTTCGAAATGTGACCTGTACCGCACTCCGGCATTTATAACTAATATGATCCTTGATTAAAATCTTTACCTGTTTTATGTACTGGAGGCAGAACATCTTCATGTTTACGTCTTCGTTTTGATGGTTTAGGATCAGGGATATAAGTTGGTTTACTGTCCACCCAATGTGTGTTATACAGCCAATAATATATGGGGTTAGATTCAGCATATTGTAACATAATATCGTGGCTCTTTTTCATAAATTCCAAATCTTCTTGGTCGACTCCGCGCACAAAAATATCCCACTTAATTTGTTGCTCCTCTGGCATTGTGCGCTTTTTAAAGTCCACTTTTTGTTTTTTCGCTGGTGGAACAGCGTCAAGGAGATCAGCGAGTTCACGATTTCCTTTATTTGTGATATCATTGAGTTTTGGACGTTTTGTGTATTTTCGTTTTGGTTTGATGAGTGGTACGACAGGTTCTGGTAATGGTGGTAGAGCTTTTTGCATTTTGAGAAATTCTGGTTTACAATAACAGTGCTCTTCATGTATTTGTAACAATGCATGCTGGTACTCAGTTTCCTCGCCAGAATCTGTCTGTTCCTCTCTTTCTTGCTCGCGTTCTTTGGCTTTTTTTGCTTCGAGATCTTCTGGGGCTTTTGCAAAATAATTATGTTCATTTTCCATTGCTAATTTTTGATTGGATACTTGAACAGCTGCTGTCGCTAAAATATCCAATGGATCGCCATCTTGTGATGTACTGTCTTTTGGAGCCTCATTTTCAGCGTCGCTTTGGACGGGAGATTGATAAATTACTATTGGTTCATTTGGATATTTTCGAGGTCGACCACGCTTTTTCTTCGATGGAGTCTCAGTTTTTCGTTTGCGAATGTCATCCACAAACTCAAATACGCCTGGAAATAATTAAGATATTCTTATTATATGACAAGGCTTTACAAAACTTCCCTGATAAAAACGGATTGAGTTTTTTGTAACCTTTAATAAATAATAAATGAAAGGCTATTATTTTTTAATCATTTTATTTTAGTCACAAGTTTTTGTTACATCTTGAAACATAAATTGACAAAAATGAACTAAAAACTACTAAAAGCTTATCTCATCTAAAACATCTGCTTGCAAGATAAGGCTGAGAAATTGGTTTAGTCTGCACCTTTAATTCATGAGTTTTACCTTTCTTCTTCTTTTTCTTAATGCCATCTTCTACATGTGCAGTCTTTTCACTGTCTTCTGCTTCACTATCCAGTTCACCTTCCTCAAGTTCACCTGTTGAGGCACAAATCAGATCAACATAAACAACATAAAGATGGACAATTAGACCTTCAGGATAGTAAACTTTTTGGACTTCTTGTAACTGCTATTATATTCAGGAATATTTCAATAAAAACAACAACAAAAAATTTTGACTGAGTTCTTGTTTTTGGAAAAATTACCAGAAAAAGGGTAAAATTCACAACAACATTTATGAAAGGGCATTGAAAAATTGAATTTCTATCTGTCTATTACAAATATTGGGGTCTTTTTCTGGTATCTATAATTTTATAGATTCTTGATCAAATAATAAAATACACAGTACTTTATAGGTCCAAAACGAGCCATATAATATAATACATAGTGCACCATATTATGTTATACTTAGTAATATATATTACAGTATATGTACAGAAAGCAACATATAATACATAGTACAGTACATGTACAGAAGGTGTCAATTACAGGATATAACTCACCATCTTCTAATTCCTCCGGAACAGGGGTCAACTTTCTCTCCTCACTTTCCTTGACCTTAGCTGCATTTTCCTCTTCATTTGTCTCCATCTTTTCATCCTCTTCTTCATCTTTGCCATCCATATCCTCATCAACTGTGATTTCTTCATCTTCACTTCTAAAGTAATGCATTAAATTTTTATGTGAATATCGCAGATTATACAGGCAAATACAGCAAAACATGGGGAGGGGAAATCCTTTGAAATCTAAAAATATTGTTCCACTTATCAGGTGGTTCACTTAAGTATTCTATAACCATTTGACAAGTTCAAATATTGTTCCACTAATCAGGTGGTTCACTTAAGTATTCTATAACCATTTGACAAGTTCAAATATTGTTCCACTAATCAGGTGGTTCACTTCAGTATTCTATAACCATTTGACAAGTTCAAATATTGTTCCACTAATCAGGTGGTTCACTTCAGTATTCTATAACCATTTGACAAGTTCAAATATTGTTCCACTAATCAGGTGGTTCAGTATTCTATAACCATTTGACAAGTTCAAATATTGTTCCACTAATCAGGTGGTTCACTTAAGTATTCTATAACCATTTGACAAGTTCAAATATTGTTCCACTAATCAGGTGGTTCAGTATTCTATAACCATTTGACAAGTTCAAATATTGTTCCACTAATCAGGTGGTTCACTTAAGTATTCTATAACCATTTGACAAGTTCAAATATTGTTCCACTAATCAGGTGGTTCACTTAAGTATTCTATAACCATTTGACAAGTTCAAATATTGTTCCACTAATCAGGTGGTTCACTTAAGTATTCTATAACCATTTGACAAGTTCAAATATTGTTCCACTAATCAGGTGGTTCACTTCAGTATTCTATAACCATTTGACAAGTTCAAATATTGTTCCACTTATCAGGTGGTTCACTTCAGTATTCTATAACCATTTGACAAGTTCAAATATTGTTCCACTTATCAGGTGGTTCACTTCAGTATTCTATAACCATTTGACAAGTTCAAATATTGTTCCACTTATCAGGTGGTTCACTTCAGTATTCTATAACCATTTGACAAGTTCTACTGTACAGAACTGGTAATCGATAATTGTAGAATAATCGTGAATACAGCTCTTCAGTAATTCAAAGATCTATTTTTTCAAAATTTTAATATAAATGGTAAAATATTTCATTTGCTGATTCACTTTTTCCAAAATTTTAACTAGATTCCGAAAAAGTGATATGAGAGATGATAGAGAGCACTTTAAATATCTAAAGTAACTGGAAAGTAATTAAACTAATTGATGTACATTTGAATAATTTTCAGATATTTTAGATTTCACTTTTTACCCTTCTTTTTGTAATGTAATCCTCTCTTCTGTTTTCTCCTTGTCAGTCTCAACATCCACATCACTCTCCTCAGATTCATCCTCACTCTCACTACTGGAACTACTTTCTTCAGAACTATCTTCTTTATCTGAATCTAAAATAATGGTGGTATGTTTCGAGATTAGAAAGTACCTCATAGGTAATATTGGATACAAAATAAATACATTTGTGACAATAAAGTATGCTAAAGATAGTTATTCTGAAAGATTTAATAAGTTCAAATGAAACTAAATTAAATACAATATCCATTGTAGACTATTGACATGAAATGGAAAAATATAATATAATTTCGTTTCTATTGGCACCTATAAACAACAAATTTTTTCTCATCCATATGTATTGGTTTAAAAAGGAATGATTTTTTTTCGAAATGTTCACTTTCTTTTCTCATAGGAATAACATATTTTATGGACTGTATCATACCTTCAGCATCACTTTCTGATTTATCGCTATCATCATCATCTTCACTACTGGTATAGATGGCCTTCTTACGTTTAGCGACATCTTTCTCATCAATGTCAAGGTCACTCTCAGATTCAGACTTATCTGAATCTTCATCTGAAATGAAACCAGTTGTTATATTTGTTTTATTTTTAAAAGAATCACTGATCAAAAACTTTAATACTGTATTTACTATTATATTGAGACTAAAGCTGAGGACTGTTCAAGAACTTGTACCTGATTCTTCTTCTAATTCTTTGCTTGGTGATGGAGCAATGAACTTTTTCTGAAAAATAAGATAATACAAAACATTATCATTTATTCAAACATAAAATTACAGTGCAATATTCAACATTTAGAATCTCCAAAAATGCACATTTGCTACATGTAACTGAATTCTAAATACACTGGAGTTACTACAAACATTTGATAATATCTTTGGTATTTGAATAAAATTTTTAAAGTTATGAAAATGGAAAAAAACTCACCCTAAAAGAAGGCAGCTTTGGCATACCCATACCCCCTCTAATACCCAGGAATCCACCAGCTTGGGGTCCAAATCCACCTGGTCCTAAGGGACCTCCTTCTTGACTCCAAGGGCTTCTTGTTTCAAACAGTGAGGCGATCGATGAACTGAGGGGATCTGCTATGGTTGGTTTAGTTGTGGCAGGCTTGTCTGAGGATGACACAGGTGGTCCCATAAGTTTCTGAGGCTGCAAGAATAAATATTTTTATAACTGATTAAACAAAAAAATAAACGAAAAATTTGTCAAAACCCATTTAAATTATTCTTTTGAAAAACTAATTTGATATGGCCTCATCTAGTCTTTCTTCTATAATTTAGGAGTATGAGATCAGGGACTTCTCTTATATTGACTTTTGTCTGACCCAGATAGTTAGGAAGGGGTAAAGCCTATGGTAGTCTGGGCCAACCAAAATAAATAAAACAAGTGCTGACATCTATTTATTCAGCTAAATAGCAACTCCCTTATTACTAGGTATTTTCAAATTAGAATGTCTCACCTTATTCTTATTATCTTCCACATCCCACCATGACTCGAAGGATTTAAAAGCGGAAGACTGCACCATTTTCTTCGTCAAATCCTTCATGACGACACTTTTCAGTTCAGACGTGATCTGATCCAAGACTGTAAGGAATGCTGAATCATCAGCTTTTACGTTTTCCAGTTCCTCAGAGTCATAATTATTTTGTTCAGTATGGTTAAAATTATTGTACATGTTTTGCATGTATTGCTCATTATATCCCTGTGATTTCATAAAGTCTCCAACAACTGATGCCATAGACTGCTCTTTAGGTTTATGTCGCACCCTTTTTTCTCCCCCTTCATCTCCACTACTGGAACATAGGCTCATTCCATCTTCGTCCCTATTTGAAAATTGCCGTGGAAATTCCCGTCTCATACCTGGTGGCATGGGTTCAATCCCAGGTGGAGGGGGCTCCCCCATTGGATAATTCATTTCTAATTCATCATGAATTCCATTTTTTAATCGTACAATATTAGAATAGTTTGCATAAGTGTCTATAGATGGAGTACCTGTCTGGTCGGAGTAATTCAATTCCTCCCCTGGGGGTGGAGGCATAAATTCTTCAGCCTCAGGAGGAAGGGGTGGTAAAGGGGGTGCCCCCGAGGCATCATGGGGATCCTGGGATGGCAAAGGTGGAGCAGCATCTTCATAAAATGGGTTGGGAGGTTCTTCAGTCGGGATGGGGGGATTGGATTCCTGAGATGTTGATTCTGAGCTTTGTCTCCGCATTGCTGTGTATTCTTTAGACTGACGTAGCAGTTGCTCTATCCTGGACTCCAGACTAAGGGTCCTACTGTTATCAGTCTCAGGTTCAGGCTCTGGAGGTTTTTCTTCAGGCTTCTCGCGGGGCTTATCCCTATCACGATGACGGTGTTTATCACTATCACGATCTGATTCTCCACGTGAGTCACGACGTTTACGGGAATCTCGCTCATATTCCCGATCTCGTTTATGCCTATGTGAATCCTTGCGATGATGACGTGCATCTCGAGAGTCACGTGAATCACGTGACCCTCTACGACGGTCATCATCACCACGGTGACGATGACGATCTCTATGTGAACTTTTCTCAAATGCTGAATCTCCACGGTAGTCTCTGGGGTGCTCTCTTTGACTTGACTCTGAACTACTATAGTTGAAACTTCCCGAATTCTGGCTGTAATTATCTGGAAAGCTTTGATTTGAGTAACTGTCTTGATTCGAAGTAATGTTTAATTCTGATTGGCTACCGCCATATCTAGCATCCAGCAATGATGGCACTTTCGAGTCAATCCTTCCCTGAGGGTCCATGCTACTTGGCCGATTAAAATCATTGCGTTTCGGTATTGTAAAACTGGAACCCCATGGGTCTGATTTGTCCTTAGATTTTTTGGGCATGGGCGGTTCAACTTGTGGTTTATCGGCTATCAAAGACTGAATAATTTTTTGCCTCTCTTTGCCTGGAATAAAAACATAGTGAGATAAAAGTGAAGCCACATACATACATTGTTAGCCTATTTTCAAAAGCATCAAAAAGTGGTTCAGCTCAGAGCAAAAAGTATTTTGAAAAAATACATTAAATCCAATGGTACATATAAATATTTAAAACACGATAAAAATTTATTTTCAACCTAGACAGGCCATCAATATTGCTTTATTTTGAAAATATTTGTTTGAGCAAGAATTCAGAATGAGTAAAATAAGGAACCCACTTCAGTAAAAGTATCCGAGGCAAAAATGTGAATACCTAGATTATAATAAAGAAAACAAATCACACATACCCATTGTATCAAGGAAGACTGTCATTATGTTACCCATCTTAGATGTTTGGTCAAACTTCTCCACACACATCCTGGCAGATTTAGTTGATTCAAACATCACCTAGTAAAATAAATTAAATAAAAAATTGTAAGTATGGATTATGGATTTCACGTTCATATGTAATTGTAAGAGATATACGAAGAATCTAACTACATGTATGATAGTACTTTAAGAGCATTTGAAAGAGAGGCTTCCACAGTTATTAAGGTACCCAAATAAAAAAAATAATGAAATACAAAATGTACAATTACCTTTCCAACACCTAAGTGTTTTGTGACTTTTTTCGGATGAAAATATATTTTAACTTCCTCAATTTTTCCAAGTCCTTGCACCATATCTTCCAGGAACGATTTCTTGATGTTATCGTTAAGATTAGTAAATGTTACTTCTTTAGGAGGTATGACTCCAACGTAGTTCTCATCATACTGGAATGTAATGATCATCATTCATTTTCTTTCATTTTACAAGTTGTGATCTGTATATATATTATTTATATTATTTATTCATCTCCTTTATTAGCCCCATATTGAAAATCTGCAGTCTAATGCTTTTTCCTGTACACTTACAAAATTAAGTAATTAAGTCTTTAAGTAAATCTATCTGTATGGTCAGTTAAGGTATGCAACTGGGTTGCTTGAAAATTAAGTCAAATTTATATCTAGGTCAAAAGTAAAATTAAGATATTGTCCATTATCTATGTCAATTTTTTTTCAAGATTTGTTTCATTGTGTAATTGAGAAACAGAGCATTTGTGAATATGTCATCCATTTTTTGATTACTTTTACCAATTCTGAGAAATTGTGTTCCAAAATTAGGTCAAGAAAAAGTTCTCCAAATTCAACAATAGAAACATCAAATTAAGGAGGATTCCAAATCTGAAATCAGAATTAATATCAGACGACCAATTGACCTTTTGAAATTAAAAAATCAATATGATGATATCCAGATTTCAAGTCAAAAGAAAAAATTATTGATAATTTTAGAATAATCTCAGCAACAAGATGTCTATGAATAAATCTATTAAGGGTATGTAACAGGAAATTATATCAAGTTTTTATATAGCTTATAGATAGTACATGTAGTTCGAAGTCTTGGACTTTACTTCTATGAAAGAAGATGATGGTATCACAATTTTTAGTCAAGTGAAGAAATAATTTTTGTTAATTGTTTAAGAATATATTTTTTCCTTTTTCATTTTGTCTATCATAAGAAGTCTTAGATTTTGTCCATTCTAAAAAGTCTACAATCTGGAGTCTTGGATTGATCTATGTTCAATTTCGCCAATTTTTTTATTTATCTCTTTTGTTTCAGTCTAATAGTTGAAAGAAATTATATCTCAAGCTAAAATTATTAAAAATATAAAGATTTTGAGAAAACTTGAGATTTCCTAAAAATAATTTCCCAAATTTGTCAACATTACCCCACATGTCAACGGCCCTAATAATGATCAAAAGAATGATTTACATTGTAAATACATGATACTCACCACAAACTTTGGTACAGGAAGATCAATGGTTTGTCGTTTATTGAAAAATCTGTTTAACCTCGGCCGGGGATCAGTAACTATCACAGAATTTGTTTCCTACAACAGAAAGAATAACCAGCAACGTTATGTAAATTCAATTTAATATGACTTATTTTTTTCATTGTTTTTTGTCAATTCGACTAGACGAAATTTCGTTGAGTGACTCACCCCAGGAACCACTCCTTCAAATCTGTATATTTTTTCAGCAGCTTTTCCCTTGATTTCTGGATCACTGAGCAATTTGTAGTTTCTCCGCTTCACAGGTGGGTGAGGGTGGTGACCTGGATGATGCCCTGGTGGCGGGCGATGCATACCGTTCGCAGCTGAAAAAGTCAAGAAGCAATCGTTTGGAAGTTTCATAGTTTGAAGTTTTTTGCTCGACTTTATGAAACTAATATTTTGTTCAGAAAAGTTGGAAATCTGTTTTACTCATTGATAGTCACCATAAAAACTGAAAAAATGAAATGAAATTCCCCTCACTTTCATGTTGAGTTTTTCTATGTGTTTCAAACTGACTGGGAGGCCAGTGTGCCATGTTGAAGATTCAGCTTGACACCTTAGTGCACATAGGTCATCACAGACAGAGATCTAGTCGCGGTTTTGTGATATTTTTGCGATTAAACATCACAAATCTGAGAAGTTTTATTCTTTCTTGTTCATTTTTCCAAATCTAAACAAATTACCCACAATGCATCAGAAAAAGATAGGAAATATTTTCGAATGAAATTTTGATCTCTATACAAACAAATTTAAGGCAAATATGGACAGCATATATCAGGTCACTATAACTGAAGCAAAAGACTGAATATCTTATTGCATGAAAGTATTAAATTATTGATTTTATTATGATATTCAAAATACGATATTGCGTTTCACTCATCATCCAGAACTAGGAGAAAAACACTTCAAACCCCGTTTAATACCTCTTTGTTGATTGGCCAATATTATTTCTATAGCACGGTTTCAATGCAACTATCGGACCAATCAAATTAAGCGTACTATGCAGTCTTTGGAATAATATGCCCATGTGAAAAATAATCAAAACTTTTCATATTTCCCTCAATAACTAAGTGTAGAACCCATTTCTTATTCCATTATGAAAACCAAAGAGAAAGCAAATAGATTCATAGGGATTATAGCTGAAAATATAGAAAAAGGTAGTGTTTATTTTGTGAAATTTAGATAAATTTAAAATTGCTGCAGCTCCTGTCCTGATGTATGTAGTGAAAAAAAGGCCCTTGGTGTATGATATACATTTATATGTAGAATTAGTGATAATTTCATAATTTATAGTGTTAGCATGGAACTAAGACGTATTGTCATCAAGGATGAGGTGATATCACAAGCGCCGGAACAGGGGGTGGGGGATTAGGGGGATTTTAATTCCAGTCAATTCTACGATTCATAGGCCTGCATCTTCCGATCACAGGGCTTCAAAATCCCGAATATATTCTCTCTTTTTACTCCCTGCTAATAAGCAGTTAGCATTCCCCGATTAAGAACTCTAAATCTGATTGGCTGTCGCAACACTGCAACAGAAATCATGTATAAGTCGATTGCGCTTAATTAGATCACGTGATTCAGTTTAATCGGTCGCTTCCAAATTGGTTATAGCAGCAGGCCTGTCAACTGTCCCGCAACCCAGGTCAAAATGATAGCATACATATTCAGGGTAATCATTAGCTAATGATTATGAAACAAATAGGTAACAAATAGTATAGCAATTTGACATGCAAATGAGATAATCATTCAGGGTAATCATTAGCTAATGATTGTGAATTTAATGAAACACTGATTTCTTTCTTCGTTAATCATTCAGTAATCATTCAGTAATTATTCAGAAACAAATAGTTAATTATTCAGAAACAAATCAATAATTATTCAGAAACAAATCGGTAATTATTCAGAAAGAAACCGTTAATTATTCAGAAACAAATCGTTAATTATACAGGTTATCTGACTCATTTTCTTCTTTATCAAGACCCTGTTGCCTCTCCTGGAGCTGTCTTGTATTATTCTGACTAAAACATGCTCATATAGAGGTGACATAGACATGAACTCCAAATTAATTTATATTTATCTGCTCAGAAACCTAGGGCTAAAATGAGTGTTTGTGCCTAATCATGTATGGGGAACAACCCAAAATTGATCAAATTCAAAAAAAATATCTTGAATTCAAATTCATTAGAATAGTAGAGATAAATATGAATAAGTTTCAACCTAAACATGTTCTACATACCTTTATGATTATGTTGATCAAGTTTCAAGATAGTCTAGCCACCCTTCAGGTTGTTTATGCTCACTTTTATTAGACAAATAATTCTCTCACATCTTAACTAAATTTTAACGTCTGCCAATGTGGGGTTTCTCATTCTAAATCATGGACTTTTAGGTAATCATTCAGAAACAAATCGTTAATCACTCAGTAACAATTCGGAATAAAAAGTTCCAAGTTAATCATTCAGAAACAAATCTTTAATTATTCAGTAACTATTCAGATTATTAACCATTCAGAAACAATTCAGTTAATTATTCAGAAACTAATCAGACATTGCTTTTAAATTCTTCAGGTTTTCTGATTAATCCATGAAGGATTTAATAATCATTAGCTAATGATTATGAAATGATTTTTGTGTGGGAATTTGCGTATTTGTCACGCATTTGCTGAAGAATTTGAAGTCACGCCAGTTATTTTTGCTTGACAGAAAATGTCACTCAAATACGCATTTTACCTGGTAATTGTCAAGCAAAAATATTTCTTGAGAAAATTTTCTAAAAAAGATCGTCTACACAGCAAAAATACGAACGACGGGCAAAAAACATAAGCATTTCGTTCGGACTTTTCACGCGAATTACGGATATGTCACGCATTCCGTTCGAAATTTTTCGTACCTCCCCCCCCGTTGATGGATGTTTGAAACGCGAGGGTAGCGAGCGCGAAAAATTTGAGGTGTTCAAAATTTGGCAAGATGTAATAAAATTTAAACCAAAGTGTTCAAAATTTGGATCAAGGTGTTCAGATTTGGACAAAGGTGTCCACATTTGTAGGGGAGGTGTTCAACATTTCCAAGTCACTCATGTTAGGTGTTCCCAAGTTGACAGGCCTGTAGCAGGGGGGAAGAAGGAGGTACGGATTCTGGATGCCTGCTTGGGAGGATGTAGGCCTGGGAACATAAAAAATCAAGTCAAATGCACCCAGTTTATTTGGTACATTCTACTTGATTTTTTTAAACATGTTCCCCAGCCTATGCTACGATTTGTGCGTGATATTTTCTCAAGATACATAGCCTAAATCACTTTTTCTGTGCATCCATCAAACCAAAAATACCCAATCAAGGGACTATACAGGTATAGTGCAAATGTTTCAAGGAAAATGCGTGACTTATTCTTTATCCGCGTGAAAAGTCTGAATGAAATGTGTTCGTTTTTTTTTGCGTTCGTTTTTTGCTATATCGGCTATCACTTTATTGAAGTGAATTTGCAAATTGCTGGACAGTTGGACGGCCTAGTACAATGTGTAACAGTACAATATTATTCTGATTATATGCCATTTCAGTGTAACACTTTTTGGTATAAATCCTTTTGGTACAATACCTTTTGTTCTAATGAGATTATCCCCCATCTCTATACCACTAGTTTTTGATTATTTCTCTGATTTAATGTTTGGTTGCAGGTCAGACTGTAAAGAGGAAGAAGCTGAACCGTGCATTCTATGGTGCAATAGACAACCTACCTAATGGCAAGCTCAAGGCTGAACTACAGAAGAATTCTGACACATATTTTAAAAAGCTGAAATGGTAAGCATGTGTCAACTGTTGCTTTCTAAGTAAAGACCAAGCGATCGAAAAATCTATTTTCAGGGAAATTATTTTGTAGTCCAGGTAAATGCTTCCTGTTTTTCTTGGAGGAAGTCAATTAAAGACATACATTATCTTTCAAAGAAGTAAATAAATTATCTTCAAGATAGTAAATGTGATTTTGAAATTAGGATGCAGGAGTTAGACAGGGAAAATCTATTAGGTACCAGGCCCGTAGCCAGGGGGGGGGGGGGTTTGCAGGGTTCGGGTGAACCCCCCCCTGGCCAAAAATTCTTTCAAAATCGTGCAGTTTTTCACCAATTGAGCACTTCTCAAGTGATTTTAGCCATATTTGGGCCAAAATGTCAAATGTGAACCCCCCCTTGCAAATTTTTTAAAACTGAACCCCCCCTTGGCAAATCCTGGCTACGGGCCTGGGTACATATCAAGTACTCCAAGCATAATCAACAGAATGCTCTTTGTCTTGAAATTTTTGGTATGAAATACAGTAAAACCTTTGTATATTGAAAATTCTTTTGCCAAGAAAAAACATTCATTGTTGATAAGTGTTCACTACAGAGAGTGTCATTTATAAGTCAGTAGAGTATGCGCGAAGGAAGGGTGTCTACTAGAGACAGGTGTTCACTTGAGAGAGGTATTCACTAAGACAGGTTTTACTGTAATAGATTAGTATATATATCCAAGAAATACTTTTTTATGTCACCACCAAAAGTATTGATATATTGGATTAGTCTCCAACTTTTTGTGGATGGTGTTTGGTTGTCAGCATTTAGCATTCAGTGCCTGTAACAAATGGCTGGTGGTGATATTTTGCAGGTTAATGCATTTGTTTCTTACATTTCAGTGCAATCTCAAGACCTCAAGTCACAAAGCAGCCAGTTCAAAATGGCCGACCCATTGAACGATTTCCTTACAATCTGTTTGACAGACAGGGTAGCATTAACACTGATGTCATCGGTGAAAAGGAAGAATCTTTACAACGTCAAATTTGTAAGTTTTAAAAGAGTAATATCTGTAATTCATATCCTATAAAACAAAAATGCTTCTGTATATTATCAAGAGAGATACCCTTCAATGAATTTTACAGGATCAATCATTCCCGAGTGACAGGATTCAAAGAATCGTTAATTGAATGAAAAGTTTAATGAAGCAGTCATGTGGGATATTAGTATTTTCTTTACATATGGAAGGCACATGCTTCATCCAATCAAAAAAGCCCTGAAAACAAGGATCATTAATTAAAAGGAAAGTTTCAAATGGAAAAAGAATCCTTTCAGCCATTGTTTATATGTACAATTCAGTACGTACATGAATATGAATATCATTTGTTCCAGATGCAAGCTACATCTCTAGAAAGGCACATTGCTTGTCTTCAGACAGTGAACTCTACATGTTATGTACCAAGAGTCTGGTATGTGATTTTGCAGTTTACTTCAAAAACCTAATATTTTAAGTGTCTTTTTGAAGACAGAAGAGTTATTGTCATTGCCACCATTTTGCGTGTCTTGTATTCAGTGTCAGCATTTTGCGTGTCTTGTATTCAGTGTCAGCATTTTGCGTGTCTTGTATTCAGTGTCAGCACTTTGCGTGTCTTGTATTCAGTGTCAGCATTTTGTGTGTCTTGTATTCAGTGTCAGCATTTTGCGTGTCTTGTATTCAGTGTCAGCATTTTGCGTGTCTTGTATTCAGTGTCAGCATTTTGCGTGTCTTGTATTCAGTGTCAGCATCAGTTGCTGTTTCCTAGGTGTTTTTTGTGTGTCAGTTGACATTGAGAAACATGTGTTACAACATGAGACTATTTTAGCTACCTCATTTTGAGTGCCTTGTATGTAACATAAAAATAATTTCATTTCTGAGTCCATAGCTTAGATAATTGTTCAGGAGTTGTAAAAATTAGCAGTACCCTATGTTAAAAACACATACCATGGACCGGTATATAATTTTCATATTCTCTCGATTTGTAGATTCCACATTAACTCATTAAATATACAATGTATTATACTTTTTAGGAGGCTAAAACTGATGTTCCAAAATGGCTGCATGATTTCAATGTGATCAGTTGTATGACGATAAGTAATAAATCTGGGAGAGCCCTTCAGTGTATCATGGAGAGGTTTCACATGTGAGTTGCCTTAAAATAGTACATATATCCAACAACCATCCTCCTAAGCAAGTATCCAGAATCCATACCTCCTTCTTCCCCCTGCTATAACCAATTTGGAAGCGCCCGATTAAACTGAATCATGTGATCTAATTATGCGCAATGACTTATACATGATTTCTGTCGCAGTGTTGCCACAGCAAATCAGATTGCGAGTTCTTAATCGGGGAAATGCTAACTGCTTATCGCAGGGGGTAAAAAGAAAGAATATATTCTGGATTTTGTGATCGGAGGATTCCAACAACCAGTTGCCAATTTCTTCAAATCATTGTTTTTGTAGGCTCATCTTTCAATCAAGTTTTTGTCTTATATCTGTTTGTGAATATGTCTGTTACGACTAAGGGCAGTTGACATCATTATATTCTGTTGATACTTGCTGATTGTGCAGTAGATAACGGAATAAATATCTTCAAACATTATTGATTTACTGATTAGAAATCCATTGTCTGTTTTGTGATTTCTCCAAAATCTGAGAAAGATCAATTAATTTGCAAGGCCATAACTTTACAAAATGTTTAGAAGTAATCATTATTGGTCATATTTATTTAGCAATTCCAAAATACTTACCATTCAAACAATTTTAAATGTTATTCATACAAATTCTTTTCGCTGTTTTTCAGAATTGCAAATGAGAAGGTCGAAGAAAGTCTCAAGAAGAAATCGTTGAAAAGGTAATAGACAATATTCCTTTAATCGCAATTACCCCAAATCACTGTTAATATAATGCATTCATCATGAGAACATTCATCAGGGAACAGCCAAGGGAAGATAGCGGAATTTCATGACTAAACATTTTTAGGATCCTTAAATGAGCTATTACATCATCAACTCCAACTTTTTTGTGGACGGTGTTCTGTGTTTGGCGGTCAGGGTCTGTAATAAGTACTAAGTGGTGGGTGTTCTGTGTTTGGCGGTCATTGTCTGTAATACGTACAAAGTGGTAACATTTTGCATGTTAATGCCTTAATCAACCTGAATTGATGTTCTTTATTACAGTGCAAATGCAATCAAGGAGGGCCTTGTTTACTTCATGGTCTGGTGTCATTTCAAGTTCAATGAGGTTGAGGTAAGTGCAATTGTCCTCAAAACCAGAGGCAAAAATAGGACTTTTCCAGATTTTCAATGTAATTCTGATGAATCTTGAAAATTAGCCCCGAAATCTAGATTTGTACAAATTCACCATAGATAGTCTGAAATATCCAGATACATTTATCGTACGATAAATTTATATGAATGTACAAATGCATGGCCCTTGATCATTATTTGTAATTATTAGGTTATAATCATGAGGTTCTGAATCCAAATACCAACAGTTGTAATAAAAATTGTTTATTCAATGCAGTTTTTCATAACTACAGATTTTTTGGCCTACAATTGTGTTTAAATCAATCTCTTAATTTGCAGGCCTTCTCCAACCCATCGTATGAAGACTTGATGGCATCGATACTCTCCCTCTATGTGGACTTAGTCTTACACACATCAAGGTATAATATCTATCTATCGAAGGTTTTAAATTACTAATTATTTGGAGTATTTTAGCCTCTCTCATTACAACATTTAGAATGAACAGGCTTTCTACAGTCAAGGCTTGCCAAAATCTGGAAGTAATGGAATTTCAATATTCCTCCCAATGTGGCTAAACTGCTATTGGTCAGGGAGAAACACTAGAACCAAAACCTTGCATACTATGTTGTTCCTGGAAAAGATATATCATCAGCGTAGTGGATAGTGGAGTCCCAGAAAAACCACATAACAAATTGATTTGAAATATCCATGGATGTCTCTTGGTACATGATAAGCTAAAACTAATAAGTTCTTGGGCATGCAGTACAGGGTAATTTATGATCTTGAGGTACAAAATTATTCACTGTGTCTTTTGTTTTCAGAAATCTTGATATCAAGGTGAGAAAATTGTTAGGTAAAGAACTCGCAACAAGAGTTGGGTTATTGCTTCATCAACATCCAAGTCACATACTAGAAGTGCTTCTACAGTTGACTATGGTAGAGGAGTTGGATGTGAATGTAGTAGGACCACTTTACAGGTAGGTGATGTTATTCACTTTTTCTGTGATTTTTGTCCTAAAAAATATTTTTCTGTGTTATGCTTTTTAAGAAATTTCGAGATAACTTCAAAAGCACTTTTAGAACGATAATTTTTAATTCTTGTCTTTGAAAAGTAATTTTGTAAAAGTTGACTATTTAGAATTTGAATTATTGTGTTGTATTTATGTTACAACTGGATTGATTTTTTTCTCTTTATTTTAAAACATGATCCTTTGAAAATGTAAATGGGAATTGCTAACCTATTGCAATTACAATGTGCATTATCCAATGCCAAAGGTGCTTTGACTTGACCCATGTTTTGAAGAAACAAATTATTTTTGTTTCAGGAAAGGTTTAGAAGGAACAATAGATGTCACTACTTGTGAGCAGTATGTTAAATACATGGCAACAGTTGCCCAGTACCTAAACACTTTCCAATCTGATGATGTTTCAAATGCTCTGAAGTTGGTAAGCATATATTTTGGATTATTGCTGTCACAATGTTAACATTATAGTATTCATTATCTAGATGCTGTTTGTGGTAGCACCCCCATTATTGCCATCATGACTTCAAGTCTGGTGAACATTTGGATTATTCCCAAGTCTGTCTATCCATATTTCCATCCACAGGATATATCTATATATAATGGAAAATTCGCGAAATATAAAAGCCGCAAAATTCCTACAGTTCTAATTCGCAAAATTTTATAGTCGTGAAATTCCAAGGAAATTTCAGGGGATTTCAATGTTGACAATATTTTCGTTCAGTGCTGGGCGATAATAGGTAAAAACGTGACCTTTCGAGTTTTGGAAAAGAGAAATTAGAAGAAAAATCTTTATTACTGTATCAAAATGAACAGTCAAAATGAAATGGCTTAATAAGAAGCCAAAATCATCTGTCGAAGGAACAACCATGGCTGATATCGAAGTTGAAAGAGTGATCTCGTCTGACAAATCCACGAAAATTAATAGCAGCGAAATTTCAAAAAACTTAAAATTAGCGAAATATAATAGTCGCGAAATTTCAAAATGCCAAAAACGCGAAATATAATAGCGTCAAATATTAGTGGGAGTACAGTATATTAATTTCTTGAAAAAAAACTGAGAAATCATCATGATCATTTTAGTGTGAAGCAAGACTCAACATAAAACTTTTCAGAGTCTATGTTTGGCGATGGCTGAAAATATACTGAACAAGCAATCAGAATTGCTCTTCACATTTGATCAGATTTGCCACATTACTCTGAATATTAACAAAAACATTTTCCAGGAATGATCTCTTATTATGTAGCATATATGAATTGAAATAAGGCAAATACTGAACAAATATTTCACTCTATTGAGGTGAATACCTGTCCATCTTTCACAAGTGATATTCCACAAAGCCCAAAGGGCAAGTGGAATATCACCTTGTGAAAGTGCTACAGGTATTCACCAAAAATAGAGTGAAATATTTGTTTTATTATATCTGTCTAGCTAAACATCCCTAATATTATTAAGTCATTAAGTCTTCAGATATTTTTACGAATCTACTCAGTTCGTCTGCCATTTTGACTTACACTGAATTAAATTATTTACACTGAACGAAAACAAATTCTTTGAAAATTCCCGGGAGCGTGGGATATCGCTAGATATCTCACGGTTGTCTTATCTGATTAGCATTGCCATTGAATATCGCCAGATATCCCACGACATGTGACCCGGTTTTGACCAATCATACTGTCGCTAGCTAGATAGTGATATAATAATGGCATCTATTTCAATGCAAATAGAAACATGTTCATTACAATTTCTAACCTGTTTATACAGGCATCACATATCTATTATCATCATTCATTCTAATTTTGTGTATTTGTTTATCAACCTCTGCTTTAAGCATTATGGATACCATGAAGTATATTTTTAAAATGATTAGATTTATGTTTAAAAGTACTAGACTGTAATATTTAGAAATGAGAGGTGTTGAGTAAAAAGGTTTAAATCTAAAATATGTGTATTATATGTATTGTTCTATTTACGTTTGAACATGAATGTATTATGAAATAATGGCAGAATTGAAAAAAACACTCGAAAATAAATCGAATTTGTCTATTTTTTTTCTATTTCAAATGTAATCATTTTACATGTATATAGAATATGGTGTCCTCATCCTAGTTTTTTTCTCTTGCATGTTTCCAGACAGGAAAGATCCTCTATACACTCTTTGGTGTATTTGGCTGTATTGTACTTTTGAAAGAACTTTTTAGGAAACAACTTCTTTTTCTGGAAGGGAAAAGGAGCATGATCATAATTTAGAATAACAGCAGATATGTGCACTCAAAATAGAATTAAGCAAATTGATTTTTCATTAACCAACCTGGTTTCCTTTTAATTGCATAATAATTTCCTACAGGCCATTGTTCAAGTTCAATTAGATGGCCTCGGTTTAAGGTGAATGCTTAATATACATGTAACTGCAGCATCACTGCTACCCACCTAATTACAGACGTATCGTCGGTGTATCATGGCGGAACTTCCTCCGGGACTAGGTTTCGGTAAGATTTTTTTATTTCCTGATTTACACCTACTTATAAGTCACGTTGTGGATAATAATTTGGCTCGAAGTTAAGGAAGATAGTCTAGTTTGAGAATGTGTCGATGGTTTTAGGTTTTATACAGGGTGACCCCAAAAAAATGCAACCCTCCATTTCTTCAATATTTTTCTTAAATGGAGGTAAATTGCTCTGAGATTTGGCACACAAGGACATCATTCAATGTGGGATCCTCTGGCAAAGTTTTAATAATCATAGTCTTATATTGATAGAGTTATGGTTGTTTCAAAATATGCTCCAGATGTCGTCAATTTCGCTGAAAACAAACTTGCAATGTTCAAGGAAAACTGTTCATAACACGGATGCATTCTTCCCCATGGGTGTGGCTCAAATTTTTGCAGCCATTGCTTATTGGAGTCCTGCAATTGCATTAGAGTTATTTTCATCCACTATCCTTTAAATAACCCCATATATAGAAGTCAGGGGCATTGAGATCAAGACTGTGGGATGACCATGGGTTTTCCGTCCTAGGAGAGATAATCTTCTCATAGAAATGACTAGTGAGCCAGGCTATGCTATCATTAGAAGTGTGAGGAGTAGCTCCATCCTTCTAGAACCACTGTTCTTGTCTATTGAAGCCTCTATGTCACTCTAGAACTGCCTAGAACTTCCTTGGAACGCCAATATCGCGCTGTGTGTTAACAGTAACAGTGTTGCCATTATCAACCTCAAACCAAAAGGGGCTAATGATTTCATGTTTGGAAATTGGCAGCCCAAGCTGTGCATTTAACAGAATGAAGGGGCCTTTGAAGCACTTCATCTGGAATTTGTGATCCTAGAACACATTATTTCTTGAGTTTACATGTTCAGAAAGAAGGGAATGTGATTCATCCGAAAACCTAACACTGGAAATGGACGACATTTGGAGCATATTTTGGAACGACCATAACTCTATCAATATAAGACTATGATTATTGAAACTTTGCCAGAGGATCCCACATTGAATGAAGTCCTTGTGTGCCAAATTCTAGAGCAATTAACCTCCACTTAAGAAAAATATTGAAGAAATGGAGGGTTGCATTTTTTTTGGGTCACCCTGTATGTTAACAAAGACACAATTCACGTATTTAGTCCCTCGCTTTTCTTACACTGACGATCGGCATTAATATTGCCAATATTACACTGATATTGGTCGTTTGTCAGTGTAAGAAAAGCGAGGGACTAAATACGTGAATTGTGTCTTTGTTAACATATAAAACCTAAAACCATTGATACATTCTCAAACTAGACTATCTTCCATAACTTCGAGCCAAATTATTATCCACAACGTGACTTATAAGTAGGTGTAAATCGGGAAATAAAAAAATCTTACCGAAACCTAGTCCCGGAGGAAGTTCCGCCATGATACACCGACGATACGTCTGTGTAATTAGGTGGGTAGCAGTGAGCATACAAGAAAGCAAGGCATTGAACTGAGATACCAAATATTCTTTTCATGATTTTATGAATCGAGGGATCCATGAACTGGGCCTCTAGGAAGACCAGTTTTGTATTGATAGAGCTACCCAGAATAAAATAATATAGTTTTCAAATCAAATCAACATAAGACTAAACCAGCTATGCCAATTTATGATACAAATCGATCTAGGAAGTCAGCCCAATCTTTTTGAGTGAATATAAATGATTTTCAATATTACTTCTTAATCTCCTCTCTACCATCAGTACATCATTTATGTAACATAAATATTATGGTTTTCATTGTCATGCTTTTCTGTGAATGTTATTACACTCTACTATACCTTGCATTTGGTGTTCATGAACAACCCTTTTGGCTTTTTAGTAATGATTATGTTATTTGTTTTTATGTGTCTGTTCCTTATGAATGGTTTATCGGATGACATTAGATGTTAATAAGGTACTTTTGAAAATATACTAAACAATACAATTGGACAAACAGAGTACCTTATGCATTTCTAGGGGTAAGGTATAGTAGAGTGTATTACCTTTAGTAGAACAATGTTATGCCATCAAATCATACCCTCCTTTATTCACAAACTTACCTTGTTCAGTGGATGCACCATCTTATATTCACAATTGCAACACAACTTTACATTTTTACAGCGTGCTTTAGAAACACATTTCTTTTTTGAGATAATAGGTTGTGTTGTGGGTTGTTCAGTGGTTAGTGGTCGGGTCATTATTGCATTACAGGCTTCCATCCACCTTTTCTGACAGCATTCCTCAGATATCACATATTCAGTGGTAGATGTTATCCATACACCGTTAATGAGTCTGAGAACATAACAACCTTGAATCTTTGTTGTTTCGTCAGTAGGCAATGTTGTTGTTGTTGTTGTTGAAAGGTCATCGGCTTCAGGAGTTGGCAAACCAGAGGAAGTAGTTTGATTCATGATGGAAGAACACTTTGGCAGCCACGCTTTCATACAACATTCTTCTGTTAGAGCAGTTTCACCTTGTATCCATTCCCCTTTATGGCAGTATGTATATCGGCAGTCCTCTATCTTCATGAGATTCTCCTCACATCCTGGTGATGGTTGAGTTAGCTCAGTGATTGTTGGTGTCGTTGGTTCGTCCACGATTGAAGAGCATTTTTGCAGCCACGCTTTACTACAACATTCTTTGGTAAGAGCATATTCCCCAACTCTCAATTTTCCATTTTCACAGTGCATGTATCTGCAATCCACTATCTCTGTCTCTTGACCTTCACATTCAGACTTTTGTGTGGATGTTGGACTTATGGTAGGGGTTGCAGTGGTTGTTGATGGGGGTGTTGTAGGAACAAGAATTTCATCTAGAACAATTCATTTAATTTTCATGGAATCAGTCAAACTTTGAAAACTGTATCAGATACATGTTTACAGTTTTTCTTTATGTAAAATACATCAGATATAAAAAGTCTGTATAAGTTGCATCAGCAATCCCAAAAGCATGTTTTTATCACAATTCCCTACATGTACATGTAAGGCAAATAGGTTCCAATGATATCTTTACCACCTAAGCTGTATTTGTACACGTTATATCATGAATTTTGTAAGAAACAAACTTTTTTTTTCTACATGTCCTCAGCTACATTGAATACACTCATGGTCAGATACTATACCAGTACACAGTATATCCGTGTTATCCCCAGGATTTTTCTCAAGTGGGTGCAAAATTCTCATTTTCACAATTCAGTCCAAAATTGGTCAAAAAATGCATGACATGATTTTTACATGATTTTTCTCATTTTCAAGTGGATGCAAATGAAATCTCGGGTGGGTGCAAGCCTGTTTATAAAATCTCAGTTGGGTGCTGCGCCCTCTTGCTTTAGTGCTTGGGAGATCACTGTATGTATATTGTTTAATCTTTTGCCTTGTCCTACTTAATATCACTCGTACCATGCAAACATGGAACCAAGCAAAGATTGTTTAGTTTGTCACTGAGATATATGAAAGGATTGTATAGTTTGTCACTTACTTGGCTTTGCCATACGTCCCATAAAGAGAATTGCTCCACTAGTCATGTCCCGTATGAGATATATGAAAGGATGGTCCATTGTGATATGTTTTTCAATAGGTGTAGACTTCCCACCAAAAACAGCTGAGGCTGCAGCTGCTTCAGTGCCTGTTAAACAAGAAAGCATACCAAGCACAAAACAAACCTGGCTAAATTATCTATAGCGCTGGTTTATACTCGTCAAAATGCAGGCCCATAGCCAGGTTTTTCTCCCAGGCTTTTGCCAAGGGGGGTTCACTTTTAAAAAGATTCCAGGGGGCCACATTTGACCAATTTGGCCCAAGATCACTTGAAAAGTGCTCAGAATGGTTAAAAACTGTATGTTTTTGAAAGAATTTTTGACCAGAGGGGGAGGGGGTTCGCTCGCAACCCAGCCAAAAATGTATTCATATTCCTTCTCTACAAATCAAAGGTGTTTCAGCATAGATCACAAATATCATATTGGGTATCATATTAGTGTTCCTAGTTAAGGATACAAGGGATGATATAGATGTTCTGATAAAAATGCTCTCATTACTTCATATTTTACAATATACAAAGTCATTATATTTTTATGAAATTATTTGGATTGCCACTTGCATGTTTTGCTAGAGTTTCTCACCTTCCTCATTGACTTCTATGAAGGCCTCATGTATGACATGAGTGATTGTCACTTGACATGTGTTGCCACACAGGTTTCTGAAGTTGGCATCCATACCAAATGCTGATCTCATGCCCATATCCTCCAAGTGCTCTTTGAGGTTGTAATTCAGTTTCGTTTTAAACTTTGGGAGTTTAACATTCACCACTGATGTGTCAACCAGCCTATGTTTAAAAAGAAACATCTGTGATCTTGTTTTATTGAGAAAATTACGCCTACAGGTAGGCATGTGCTCCATAATCAGTTTGTTATAGTGAATCAAATGGTTAACTTAAGCTCATTTTCTATTGTCATACCAATGGCATTGCAGAAGACTTACAAAGAAAACACAGTAAAAATAGACTATACCATAATTAATTCAAAAATTTTAGTTCTTGAGTTCAGACTCTTTTTGAGAGTAGGTGGGACCAAACAAACCTCTATACCTATAATAATATAAATTTAGATAGTAAATACTATTGACCTGTTTAGTGCTGCTTTCAACGACTCCGCTGTAAGTTTTGCCTCAAGATCTGCCAAACAAACATTTCTTCTTGGTAGCAGAATAACCATGTTAATTTTCTCTCCCACATATGGAAGTTCTAAAACATCAGCTTGAAGATACGGGTCAAACGCAGTTCGATAGTTGGATTTGTTATACATCATTTCTACAATTATATTTTCTCCATTGCACAGATTGAAAGTTTCATTTTTGGTTTCCATTGGGTCAAATTGACTTAACCAGACTCCTTTGAAGTATATTGCATTAACGAGAATCAGAAGCGTGTCGGATGTGATATCATCTGGTGATAAAAGTTGCGGAATTTTCCCCTCAGTCTTATTTGAGACCCAGTTGTTGATTCTTTCAGCTGAATGTGTTGGGTCATTTTGTAAAGGAAGTACCGTTGGCCGAGCTTTATAGAAATTCCTCACTCTGTTAAGGTACTTTGGAAGCATGGGAAACTTCTCATCAGGATAGATTCGATTAGCTGCTTTCAATGCAAAGTCATCACTCGCCGAATTCAACTTATTCAAAAGGTTTTTGAACAATGAATGCCATCTATCTGTTTGGTCAGAGAATTTCAAAACATCTGCCATTTCTTTTGCAGTAGCGCCATCTGTTCCGAGATACGTCATTGCCAGTGCTGTGGAAATACTCATTGGACTAAAGATCATGTTTTCACTCACCGAATTATTAAACTCATCAGTTAATTCTTTATATAAATCCACTGCAAATCCATTAACTGCTTCGCCAAGTTCTTTTATTTTGGATGGTGCTCTCATGCTTTCCCCTCCAGGTATAACACACAGGAGCAATAATAGTAACTGCCACCTTGCCATCATGTCAAAATTCTCTCATACAAATGACATTTAATATCAAGTCTTTGATTTGAACTGCTGTTTGAGAGAACGTCAACACGTTCTGACGGTTCTGTGTGTCTATATTAATTTATTCTGTATCATATTAGAACTCTCCAATGAAAACTCAAAATGATTTAAATAATTTATGCATTCATAAAGGAAAATCGCTCACATTTTTACAGTCCCCGGCTGTTTTATAGAGATGTACAATGCTGTATGGGTTAATTTCATTTTTCTTCCTTTTGGCTTTTCTCTTTCAATTGGATTCTGAGTATTTGTAAGGGTCGTGACGTCTGTCTTGATCCTATTTGTGAAGGCACAGTGTATTTCACCTCCATATATTGCATTGAAGGATCAAGGAAAGTACCATTCTAAAGTTTTTACTTTTTAGTTTGCTTAATATTGGCATGGGCGTTCTAATTGAAAGCCCTTGATATTGGTTAAACATATAGTAATTTACAATATACAATGTATTTCTCAGACTTTTGAGTATCTATGCAAACTGTTGAAATGCTCAATATGTTTATTTAATGTAAGATTGACAGCACAACCCAAATATGTATGTGACCAGTGGCCTATATGGTGTCATTCCATTTAAAGTGTTTTAGGGACCCATCCCAAGTACATTTGTATTGTTGTGTCACTACCAGAAGTAATGACATATTGCTATAGTCTCCAACTTTGTCGTGGATGGTGGTCAGGGGTTGTTGTTTGGTGTTCGGCATCAGTGACAAATGGCAGGTGGTGACATTTTGCATGTTAATGCCTTGTTGCCCCTTTGCAGTTGATGGCGATAAAAACTACCTTATGGTTTATAAAGACAATGTTAGAAATTTCAACTCATCTAAGATTGACCAATCAACACAAACCTCAAATTGCCTGGTTTACACAGCCAATATAATTCGGTGTTGGTTCGGAATCGAAAAAATTTGGCGCTGTTCCGGCACTTTTTCGGCACCATTCTGGCACCGAAACCTTTCGACACCAAAATTTGGCACCGAACTAGTCAGTCCATTTCTGAAACGGCACCGAAATTTGGCACCGAAATGGCGTCAAAAATCAGATTGCATTTTGGGGTTGTAATAGAGTAGTGACCTCTTTGAAATCACGTTCTAGTCTAACATTCACATTTTTCATGGATCCACCATTCCATTGTTTCAGATCATGGATGCTAAATTTTATTCAATATTTGTTTCATGGTTAGCATTTTTATCATTGTGTGTTCAGCTGAATGCCTTGTATGTTTAGAACAAAATATCTCTGTATGTAGATAATTTGAACTTACAATTGTATTGTGTAGGATATTACTGTATTAACAAAGTTAAATGTCAAATTGATGATTGCCATTTGTTGGAATAATAAGTTGATGAATTGAAAATGAATATTAAAAGAGGGATTGACTCAAACTAAGTATGAATTATGACAAGCCATCTGACCCGAGTGAGCTCAAGTCCACACATTCTGAAACATGTTTGGTTAGTAAAATTAAAAATGGGCAAACATAAATGCTAGTACTAGTTAAGTAGGAAGGGAGGGTTCCCATGCACCCGATGGGCAAACATAAATGCTAGTACTAGTTTAGTAGGAAGGGAGGGTTCCCATGGACCCGATGGGCAAACATAAATGCTAGAACTAGTTTAGTAGCAAGGGAGGGTTCCCATGCACCCGATGGGCAAACATAAATGCTAGTACTAGTTTAGTAGGAAGGGAGGGTTCCCATGCATCCTAGATCTGATAACAATTTTAACATCAAAATTCTTTAAGTAGACATCCTGTCAGTATACAAATTGCAAATAAACTTTTATATCTTTCGGGCGCTATAAAAATTGCAATTAAACATTCATATATTTCGGGTGCTATAAAAATTGCAATTAAACATTTATATCTTTCGGGTGCATGGGAAGATTGGAACCCTCCCTTCCTAATAAACTATACCTCCCATTGTGAGATGAAATAGATATGTACCTTTGGGATACATTGCTAAATTTGTGTTAGAGTAAAGATTGATATAAAAGGCAATCAATCCAGGTGTGAAGGGTACTTAGTATACTAGTATGTCATGAAGATTTCAAACTAATTAATGAAAGCAGAGAATTTCATTCTGTGTTTTCATTAATCAAAAAAGCTGATTATTTGAATAATGGACTAGTTGATTTGTTATTTCCTTTTACATTTGGAAACATTCAGCTGGCTCCAGACTCCAGGTCCTACGATGGTCCCTTTGTTGCACCCTGCTGCTTTGCCAAGACCCTTTCAAGGTTTGATGAGGCCTGCATGTTCAATCGTTAACAACATTAATGCATCTTTCTTAAAGTTACTTTAGGATTGCAGATAATAAAATATGCATATTTTGAATTCAACACATTCAAACATTTATTTCACATTCAAACATGATCGTTCTCTATTTGAATTTCTAAACCAATCAGAATGCAGCATAGCCAATAATGAACGTTCAGGTACGACCATGCTCTGTTCAATCTGCCTCCAGGAATTCTTGTATTATGACGTCACACCTGGGAATGGCGAACATAACATCAAGTTTGGTTATTTCATTGACCTAAATCCCCAAATTCTCTGAACAAGGTTTTCTTTTTTTATGTTTGAATCGGATCGAACCTTCAGTTCGTGCTTTGTACTGACATTCTGTTCAACTCGTGCTGAATTTCACCATATTGAATGGCCTATCATCATTTATTCCTCAAGTGTTTTTGATTTCATGTGTTTTCAGAAAGCCTTAGCCATTCCAGCTCCAGGAGATTTACTTGATTGGATTGGGCAACACCAGAGGTCGCTACTAGACATGATGCCCATAGAAAGGAAGTTTAAAGGAGCAGCCATCACTCGGTTCCTTTTGGACGAAGGAAATGAAGAAATTTGGCCAAGCATACTTGATGTAAGTATCTAGCTATTATTATGTCAAATACAGGTTGTCCATAAAGTCTCTGTACAATTACAATACAAAGTCTGTAGTAAGTGTAGACTTTATGGACACACTGTATAATGGAAGGTTCAGGGCTCACAACTAAGACTGGAAATATGATTGCCACAAGCTACCATAATAACCCTATTTGCATTCAGTCCATTGCCCATTAACTATCTATTTTCATTAATTATTTATTTTCATTGCCAAAAGTGGAAAGAGAGAGAGAGCCATTGTCAGTCAGACATCTTTGGGTTTTGCCCCTGTCATAGTATTTTAGCCTTTCTCTTACTTCTGCCTTCTCAAGTAGGAAAAGCTTGTAAATCCACAAATCCATGCAAAAAAAGTCACAATCCCATTTTCATGAAATCCATGACTTGATTGGGGATGGATAATAGTTTGATCTCAACCTTTATCTGATGGGAACCCCCCCCCCCCCAGGAATGACAGGAAAAATTGTAGATTTGATTGTAGCTTATGGTCCAACAAATCCATGCAAAAAATGTCACAATCCCATCTACCTTTCATGAAATCCACAACTTGATTTGGGATGAATAAAGGTTTGATCGCATCTTCTGATGGGAAAAATACCCCCTCTAGAATGATAGAGAAAGTTGCAGATTTGATTGTAGCTTATGGTCCAACAAACTATATTTCAGATAATTGGTGAAAACACACAAGCTGATATGCCAAAGAATGATAGCACGAAGGCTGTTGCTGATAAAGGATTGCCTACTGTTGGTGAACCTGTTGGTGATAATCTGGAGGAGAAACCATTGTTTTACATGGACACATCTGCTGATCCAGCTGTAGCTGTTCTCATGGTGAGCTATCTCATATATACATATACAGGGTGTCCATAAAGCCTCTTTACGATTACAATACAAAGTCTGTGTAAAGCGTAGAAACTTTATGGACACCCTGTATATATTCTCAAAGGGGCCCAGGGGTTTCATCAGTAGCAGCAGGCAACAGGTGATTTTCACCGGTTGTTTTCACAAAATTGCCTGTTGTTTTTAGGGACTTTTCAACTTGTCCATGTTAAATCTATGATTTCCATTAATTTTGCCTGTTGTTTTCATTTATTTAGCCTGTTGTGAGAAATTCTAGTGAAACCTCTGGGGGCCTATCCTGTTATAATGTGGCAAATTGTTAAGTACAAGCAACTGTCTATAAATCTTTCATTAAAAAGGAATGTATACACTTCTTAAAGACCGTGCTCGAGTACCCCCCTGCAGCCCATTAATGAAATTAGATAGCTGATAAAAATTACATAATTAAACATTAAGGATTAGCCTATCACAGATGGGCTCACTTTCCTTATATGGATTACTGCAGTGTTTACTGAACATAATGAGCTATGCACATGGTATATTTGGCGGGGTTTTGTATCTTGTAGGGTGCTTGTTTATGAGAGACAATTGGGTGTTAGTTTAACCACTATTATTATTTACAGATAGCCATCTGAGATATAGTTTTCTTTATTCTTTTAATTATCCAAATAATTTCAAGAAGTCCATAATTTGTTATCTTCTTATTCTACCATAAATGATGAGCACAACTTTACTAATGACCCCTTTGAATGTCTAAAGAATCAGGAACTACTTGAAGAGTGTCATTAGCAAGTGGCTTAGGATAGTTCAGTAGAAGTTGATAGGGAACTTCTCAAAAATTTGCCAAATAAATTATAGATCATGGTATGAACCTATCCTGAGATACCGACACGTTTCCTACAACCCCCCAAATCAAGGGTAATGTCTGGAAATGTAATGTCCCTTTCATCAAGATAAATGAAAGCAAACACAGGACAACCAGAATCATGATAAATGTTCAAAATCAGGAAAAGTTGAGTAATACAATGGGGTTGTTGAAAGATACTCTTCTAGGAGACACGGAACCCAGGATGTTCTGGTCTCTAACCTATATCACTCATAAACCATACAGTTTGAAATTGTAAACTAATTTTCAATGAGAATATTTGAGTCATCTTCAAAATGTTAAAATGGTCAATTCAATTATATAAGGGGATGTCTCTCCCTTTACTTTCATATGTCAGTTCTCAAATCAACTACATCATGTCTCAAGTACTAGCAAATAAAACTAAACAGAAAATTATTATTCGAAGTAGAACTTTTAGAAGATGATTTATAAAGCAGAGACTTTATAACAAGCTTGGTGGGATTAAAATGCAAACTTTAAGCAATATCAGTTTAATGACTTATACAAATGCATTTGATACACAATGTTGAGAAAAGGTCAATTATAAGCACCAACATATTGTATAAAACAAAACAAGGAAAATATTCAAGGATTATCAATAAACTCAAGCAAATGAGAAAAAAGAAAACAATATTATTGAAATCAAAGGATTATATACTCATTGGCATTGTTGGATTAAGTTATTGGATTGATGAATACTACACATGTTTGGTAAGTAGAAAACATTGTTCTCTATTTACATTCAGCCATGTCCCTTTGTTTATATGTATCATGTGACTAATTTTTGCAATGCCGATTGGCTGTACATTGAATTGTTAACTCCTCCCATTAGCAGTTTAGAAAATGAAGATTTAATGTGTTTTCAAGATATCTCTGATTAAAATAAGTACATTTATTTGAAGATAGTATATTCATACACAAATGTGACAAATTATATAGCAATCTGATCATTAATTCCATAGGAAAAGGCTATTTTATTGTCAGAGCAAGCAGTTTCAGTTATTTTCAAATTTAATGGTTTACTAATGACTCCATTTCTAACTGAATCTGAGCTTAAATACTCAGCCACCCCCTTTAAGTAAATGTATAGCCAATCTATATTTTTATCCGTAAATATTTTTGTATTTACATCTGTATTATGTATAGCACTTGAATTCTTTGGTTGTTTGAACACCTTTGAAAATGTGACCAATTCTCTGTTTTATTATATCCACTATATCTTACAATATATAAGCAATGTTATAATTAGTTGTGCATATAGATGTCAGAGGATGGCAAGGTTGTTTTTGAACCAATTTACACAATCTTCAATCATGTTCTACATTGGATCACATATTACTTAAGTAGTTTTTCCCTTACTTATGCTCATGTTGGAAGGTTTGGGATGAGGAGATAGTGTTTGGTGTTTTGGGATGTTCTTCTCCTCCCAGAGTCTAAACAAGAATCCTGTATGAGTTTTGTAATTTATTGTTATTCTGTTCTTCCAGGAGAATGAGGTCAACGATGTCGCAGGGGAGAATGGAGATGGTGACCTCATAATTGATGAAGACGCTGATGTCATAGTTGAAGAAGATGATGATATCAGAATTGAAGATGATGATGAAGTGACGAATGAAGATGATCTTAAAGACCAAAATATGGATACCCCTGCTCTTTTTGAACTGAATAAAAACCTCAACTCGGAAAAAGCTCATGAAAAGGATGACCCTGATATCATTGAAGAACTATATGTTATTGATACTGCCCCTACTAGAATAACACTCAGTCAAGCTTATGCTGAAATGACTCCTCAAGCAGAAAATGGAGACAGTGATAATGAAGATGTTGAGTTGATTGAAGGGGAAGATGTTGAAAAAGACATAGAGAAAACTGAGGAGATATATGTTGTTGATACTGAGAAGTGGAGCAAGAAACCTGAGAGTATTGTGTCTCAGATGAATCTGCCTGATACTATATCCCCAATATGTACACCGCCCAGATCATCCAGGAGAGCCAGAGCAGGTGTTACGCCAAAGGCAATCAATGTTGGGGATAGTCCAAAATCAAGCCTTGGTAGAGAGATGAAAGCTACTCCTAAAGCAATTATTGATAGAGCTCCTGCAACTGACCAGACTCGAACCCCAGTCAGGAAATCTAAACCAAACCCTGTTGAAACTATTGAAGAAATTAACCTGGATGAGATAGTTTCAGAAGAACTTAGTCCTAAATCAAGCATTACACAAGAAATGAAATCTTCTAAGACAGGAATTGAGCGAAGGAAATCACTGCCAAACCCAGTTGAAGTTGTAGAAGAAATTGATCTGGTGGCAAGTGATACTGAAACCAAGGCCAAATATACAAAACTCAAGACCCCAAAACCTAAACCCAATGAAAAAGGGATTGCTCCAATTTCACAATCTAAGAAAGGAAAAACAACCTTGGTATCACCTCGTCGTACCAGAAGGACATCCCAAATGCAAATGGAGAAAGCTGTTGATGAAATCACAGTTGTTGAAGAAACTCAGCCAGATATGTTTGAATCGCAAGATGCTCAAATAGTTGATAACAGCACCCAAGATAAAGTTGCTGAAAGTAAAGAGAAAAAGAATGAAAATGGAGATGATGTGACAGACGTTGCGATATTAGAGATCAGACAAGATAGAGTCAGTGATACTTCTGATAATGAAGGAAATGAAGCTACTACATTTGCCATTCCAGATATCAGTAAACATTTGAAGAAAGGACCAGGGGAAAATTCCATCAAGGGACTAAAGAAAGGGGAAAATTCCGGTGTGAAACCTGGAAGGAGGAGGGAAGATGTTGCAAGTGATACATCTGAAGACACTCACATCAGCTCCATTCCAAACATATCCCAACACCTTAAGACAGATGAAACTCAAGCGGAAAATTCCATTGATGAGGAAGAATCAACCAAATCAGTAGTAGATAAAACGCCTAAATTGAGCAAGAAAACAAAAACACCAAGAAAGTCTTCAAGAAAGTCAGTTGTAAAAACAAGCCCATGTTGTGAAGAAAAGAAAAATCAAGTTATAACAAATGTAACTTTAACAAGAAAAAATGTTGCTGCCCTTCAAGAGACAGATTCGGATGCTACAACACCAATGAAACAAAAACGCACAAAACAAAGAAATGTAAAACTTGATGACAAATTCAGCCCACCACTTCTAAGATCGAGAAATTCATCTGGGGATAGTATCAATGCTTCCACAAAGGGAACACCTCAAAAGTCTAAATCCCTGAAAAAATCTACTGGTATTACCGTGTATGATTTCCATGGAAGTGCATCTGAACTGTCCGATTTTGGGACACCCCCTAAACGTAAGATTTTAAGTCCCATCTCCGAAGTAACCCAATCTTTATCAAAGTCAGGTAAAAAGAAAATCAGGACACCAAAGTCTAAAATTCCATTAGAATTTGAAACCGTAAAAACTTCAGCCAGTAAAACCACAAAACTCAAAACCCCATCCTCGGTAGATAAGCTCAAATTGCCAGCATCGTCAAGGAAACGGCTGAGTACACCAAAACAAACAGTTGAAACATTATCTAAATTGAAGCAAGCTCAGAAAGAGGCTGTTAGTGAGAAACGACCAAGGAGGGAAAGTGCAAGTAAGTATAAAAAGACTTGAGGGAATGTTCAGGGCTTCCTAATAATCATGTTATTCAACTGTGCTATCTGTTTCCTAAATATTTCCTTTGATTTACAGTGATCTCCTCAGGATTTTTTCTAAAGTGGGTGCAAAATTCTCATCTTCACAATTCGAACCAAAATTGGTCAAAATATGCCCATTTTTCATGATTTTTCTCATTTTCAAGTGGTGCAAACCTATTCTCAGGTGGGTGCTGCGCCCACTTGCTTTAATCCTGGGGAGATCACTGATTTATGTTGGTAGGCACTACATGGGACCAGGAGATAAAGTATTTATTTTGCTATTTCACAGCCTTGCACATTAACCCGACAGCCTCATTTTTCTCAATTCAAGTTTAAGAAATAATCAGGTGAAATAATTTTGTGAATTTTGTGTTTCTGTTTTTCAGTACTAGATGAACTTTTACTTAAAACATCATGTTATTTTGTGTTTTTATTTTCAGATTATTGAATATTGGAATAGACTCGATAGAAAGACACTTCATAATATTAGGGACACTAAACTACAATAGAGACACTTTACCACTGACAATGAAGACACTTCATCACAATAGAGAGACACTTTACAATTGACACTTAAACGATGATAATGGAGAGACACTTCATCACAATAGAGAGACACTTAAATTGTGGTAATTGAGAGACACTTCATCACAATAGAGAGACACATTACAATAGAGAGACACTTAAATTGTGGTAATTGAGAGACACTTCATTAAGATAGAAATACACTTTACTGCAAAAGACACTTTATTACCACTGATATTGGAGATACTATCAGTTATTAAAGCAACCAATCAAATCACTAGATTTCTACATAGTGTGTGATACTTATCATTATGGTACAATGACAATTAGAATGGACCTTTCTATATATAGGACTCTTACACTTATTGACTTATCATTGCAAAACAGAAATTGCATGTATCATAGAAAATATCAATACTACAATACAAAACAATGAAAATATTACACACAATCAAAGTATGTCTTGGTTTATTATGAAGAGCAGTGATCTCCCAACATTAAAGTAAGTGGGCGCAGCACCCACCTGGGATTTTAAAAACAGGCTTGCACCCACCTGAAAATCCATTTGCACCCACTTGAAAATGACAAAATTCATGAAAATTAGCCATATTTTGACAAAGAACGAATGGCTATAGACACCCCTGGGGTCACTTAACATTTTTTGAAAAATGCGATGTCGTTAATAACCTTGATATGTAGGATCAAATTGTAGATAAATATGTATATTTTCAAGAAATAGCAATAAAAAAGCATTCAAGATTCCTGATATAAGTATATTTTGGGTTGATTCGGGAGGTATGTATCACTTCCTTTGAAAATGTGAATTTTTTATCAGTCTCAGAAAATGTCTCCAGAATATATAAACCCAACTTGGCAGATGTCCCATTGTTTGATTGTGTCACTCTATACACTCATTGGATTAATATTTTGTACATATAAATAGTCATATTTCAATAGTCATTGAGAAGGGATTAGTTATGTTTGCAATTGTGTTGACCTACTTCTTTTTAGATAGAGGAAGGTCATGATAAACGCTTGCTTTGTTCATATAACGCTTGGTTCTTACCTAGAAAGTTATATGTATTGAGGGAATAGTGTACTTCTAAGGTACTTCTTGAGATATGTAAAAATCTAGGTAAGGACCAAGCGTTGTGCAAAAATGGAACTTTTCTGCAATTTTCAGCATGAAATAAAATCATGTCAGCCATTTTGAAAATCCTTAGAATGATTGTGCCAGTTGTGTTTTATATATTTGAGTATATTTTCTTTATTCATATGATCTTTTCATCAACTAATATGTATGCTTGCACTGGAGCATGACCTCTTGAGAAGCATATATCTTTACCATGGCTCTAAGCAACATAATAACATGCAATTCCTTTCAATACATTCATATGAGATGATTGTTGTACAATCATTTTATCTTGATGTTTTATGTATGAATAATTTTTTTATATTATCACAGTTCACTGGCTGATCATACCAATGTCCATATTTAGAAATCCAGTTCAACTTTATTGTACAGAAGAAATATACTGTAAGTCACAATCAGTAGGCAGAAAAACGACATTTGCTAATAAAATGCCCAAAGCAAAGGGAAATGCATGAGTGAACTGCAATCTCCCAGTACCCCCTGTATGGAGACAAAATCATAGTAGACTCTCTTGAGATCAAGCCAACCAATTTAAACGATGCACAGATGACCATCTTCAAGTAGATGGGAAATATACCATCATTCTTAAAAAAGATACATATGACCTAATTTGTGTAAAAGTCCAGTAAACGGTTTGTGTCCTCTAAATCTCATTATACATGGGTGGAGTATAACCCAGTTCCAGATGTATGTAATAGTATTGATGCAATCACTGGATGGTGTTGTTCATGCCTTGTTGGGAGTAGGGTTGTAGGCACAAGGGGTATAAAAGCAAAAAGAAATGCACGAAGTTTGACATTTTAAAATCAAAAGATATGTATGAAATGTTGTCATCTGAAGAAGATGATGATAGCTCAGAGAATCTCTTATTATAATGAACAAGCACATGAATGTGCTTATCAACAGTTATGTAAAGTCCATGTGTTTTTAAATGTTGCTCTTTGTGCTTCCTCACTGTGATGTGAAATAATAAATTCAGTGTTTTACTGCCAGAAACTGCATATGTGCAAATGATCTCAAGGAAGCAGATCAATATATAATTGATTGATATGCATTTTTGACTTATTAATTACATCATGTGTTTTTAAATGTTGCCCCTTGTTCTTTCTCATTGTGATGTAAATTAAAAAAAACTCAATATTCTTTTCTGACATAGTTTCGCAAACTTTTGTAGACAATTGTTCTAAATGAAGTATAAAGAAGATCACTATTCAATATTTTGTTTGTATTTTTGACTTGTTGATTTTTCCTGGAAAAGGTCATTTTGTACACGTTAATAGAATGACCTATATTTTGAAATATAAATGTCAGAATGACCTAATTTTTGGATCTGGTTATCAAACAAAGTCTCTTCTTTGATATCCTGTACAATTTTTTCTAAATATCTTGGGGGCTAATATAGGGTCTTAAAGCCACTCGTCCTTTGGTTTAGAAGATTCAGAATTTTGCACCCACTTGAGATAAAATCCTGGTGAGATTACTGAAGAGGGAGGTTTTTTATCTCAACAAACGATGAATGAAAACTTTCAAACCAATGCATTCAAAACCATAGGATATTTCTATATTATCCTACACTTAGTGTACTAAATGTATAATAACATGAAAAAATAAATTTGATATTTATTGGCAAAATGAATATCCGGAGGATATCGTAACGATATACTCCGGGCGGAGGATATCGTGACGATATACTCCGGAAAACCCAATATGCGGAGGATATTGTGACGATATAATTCGCTTGTTGATTTCCCGCCAAATTGACTCTATTTGGAATGGAATTAATTTTACAATGATATTATACATTCAGTACACTCCTTGTAAGTGTAGGATAATAAGAACATCCTATGATTTTTTCAGAATATCATTTTAATCTACTCGGTGATATTGATATATGCACTCGTTCGCTTTGCTCTCTCGTGCAGATATCAATATCACCTCGTAGATAAAAATGATATTCCTCAAAATCATAGGATATCCTATAAATATCTGAACATATCTTTATATCAGGACGTGCCCTATATCTGCTTAAAATGTTGAAGTATCCTCTTTACTTTTATTCTATGAACGCCACCTTTCCACGTTTCCTTAAAAGCTGGTTTTAACCTGCTAGCAACTCCTATGAAAATATCAGGATAAATCCACACCTTAACATGGTGCAGAAACTAAGGATTAGCAAGTTTAATTAACAGCATTGCTTAAAGAGGCTCTATGCCATAGGATAGCACAACCAAGACCCCTCTGGACTTTTTTGCATATGGAGTTTCACCACATATCCACCCATCTACTTACCAAAGAAGAAGTCCCAAATCCCCCTCTTTCAGTGTTTATTTTGCGATTGTGCTGGCCGATCTAATTATTTTCGAAGAAATTAATTCAATGAATCTGAAGTTTGAATATACCGGGAAAGTCCTCCTGTTATCTGATTGGTCGTTGAATTTGTTTATCATGAACCTGATCGGCTGCCTGGTTCAAAGCGCTTGTGTGATTCAATGGGGATTCCCCTCGCTAGCTGAGGAATAGGTTGTGTTTAATTCTGGAGTTTGGTTGTTCTGTTGATTATTTCAATATTTCGGCAATAATATACCCAAAAGTTATTTTAAAGATATATCCATGGTATGTGAGATATTATATGAGCAATAACAATGGGACATCATTGATTGTGTCTATGGGAGAAACCTATGGTATAATGTATCTTTAATACTTGATTTTGATCGGCTAGGCTATGTCCATCACAACCCAACAAAATGATGAAAAACATTGCAAGATGTACATAGCAAAATTGTAAGCAATACCACTCAATATAAAATGGGAGAAAATTGACAAGTTCTGTGAATATGGCAATATCTTCTCCACCAAATATGAAAAAACAATCCACTTGTATACAAGTTATCTTCTGGACAGACAGATGAAGGGCTTCACTATATCCCTACCAAACTTCAATGCCTCTTCACCCATGCACAAAAAACAATGATAATTGAGTGGTCTATGATCACATATGAACAAATGACATATCATTGGAAAGAGGAGACACTTGGTAAAAAGGACTTTAGTTTCCATGTTGCACATTTCTAGCAGTTATAATGGTAGAGTCCATATGTTTGTGACACAGTGTTGTGTTCCACAAAGACAAAGTGAACAGATCACGGAACTGGGTCCAAAATGATTATAAATGACCTCATACATTCATACTTTGATTAATTGTATCTTTTTTCCTCGATTCATAAGGAACAGAAATGATATACAGTGTGTTCAAAAAAAGACCAACAAGCACATTTTGAAACCACAAAACCAGTGATTACATCAATTTCATTTAGTTTACCATTAAGCCACATGTCTCTTCTTTCCAATGATATATCATTTGTCCATATGTGATCATGGACCACTGAATAGCCATTGTTTTTGTACATGGATGAAGAGGCTTTGTGCGAAGTAGATATGAAATATCCTCAATCACTGATCTTACTGTGCAATCAGGTAGATTATTATGTAATTGGGGCTGGGGATTAAACAGTTAAATTCTGGTCACAAGACTAAGATTTAATTCGCAATTGTAACTAACGCCTGTCGTCTACCAGATTGACCTGCTATTTTATGGGCAACTTGTTTAAATGTGAATAGCACCTGCCACTATTCCATTCATATTTAAATGAGTTGGTCATAAAAAAGTAGGTGAATCCGGTATCCTGAGTATAAATAAGGGAGAGTAGTGGACACATCATCTCGTTTAATCAATGTAACAGGCAGAATTCCAATCAAACTTCACCTTTTCCAAAGACTTGTTTAACTTCCAATTCTACCATGTTATATTCAAGGATATCACATGAGATGTTTAAAGCCCAGATGGACACATTCATCGAAAACTATGTGACAAGACATTTTTAAAATGTAAATCAATCACTTTCTCATAGAAAAAAAGGCATAATATACTGAAGTATTCATTATTTATTAAACAATCAAGTATGAATAATACAAACACGTCATAAGTATGACGATGCCAATATTGACACACAGCCTAACATAATAATCTTAAACATTTTCTTTAGGTTGGATTATTAAATCACAAAACTATTCTTTTCACAATCTTTATTTTAACTTCACAGGACGTTTCGGATCACAGTAATAAAAACTGAAATGAAGCGCCACAAAAACAATTAATTGAATTGTTTTTGTTCACTTTTTATTACAGTTAAGAAAGGATCTAGATGTGATCCAAAACGTCATGTGAAGTTAAAATAAAGGTTGTGAAAAAAAGAAAATAGTTTTGTGATATACAATATATGTATAATAATCACTTAATAGTCGAGTTTAAAACAGCTAAACCAAATTGAATTTTTTTCTCCATTTTTACAATAGAACTTAGAAACTAATGTGGTTTTAATAATTGTACATTGACACCTGATTTTTCTATTTCATATTTAATCCAACAACTGATGGTATCTAAAGAGATATTGCAGAAAATGGTTTTGACCGCTTATGAATAATTGTTTTTCATTACCCCGCAGAGTGTCCATGTGGTCAGTGTTGATCTCTCAATGTTGTACAATCACATGAGGTTCATCAAAGATGTCTTCATTTATTTGCAAAATCTTATCAATCCAACTTTAAATTATATTCATCTCAATATCTCTCTCTTTAGTTAAGTAACGGTCCATTCGCATTCCATATATGGTCATAAATATCCTACAGGTCACAGGAAGGAGCATGACTAGAATCACATATACTACATATGGTATAGGTGGCGTACTTCCAAATGGCCTTACCCACAATCCTCTTCTGGTGCCATCACGTAAATGATGCGACAACCAGGCAATTGTAAATATCAATGGTAGTGAATAAAATCTGTTGAGATTGTAGCACACGAAATATAAGAGAAGCGCAATGGCTGGAATGATTGTTGTGTCATGGAAGACTGGACGATTGGTTAATGACAGGGCATCCTGAAAAACAAAAGAAATAACTTGAATTCATGATTTAATATCTGCGAGAGGTGGTACATGTATGTCAATGACTCAGAATCGAGGTCAAGATAATCATTTCGATGGTATATTCAATGGGCCTAATTCAGGTATTTTGAAAAATACATATTTTTCATGTGTCTAGATAAAATAAATGTACAGTAAAACCTGTGTATAGTGAACATTTTTTTGCCAAAGAAAAATGTTCACTATTAGTAGGTGTTCACTACAGCAAGGATTTGATTTCGCGACATTTTGCCAGAGACCAGTTATTAAACGAGCCTAAATAATAGAGGAGGGAATAACTGATTTAATTTGTACTTTATACCTATGATAACCCATGACATTAAGAATGATCTTATAATTTTAACCTTATCTGGTTTTTAAAATGATGGAGATGAGAAAAAGATTTAGTTGGGACTTAGCAGATAGAGATAGAGGTAATAATAGTTAACCAGATTATCTCCAATTAAAGCAATCAATGCTTCTAGACACTGCTAAACACATATCCTGCCTTACAAAAACAAAGCTTACTAAGAATTATAATTAGTCACACCTGTTTCAATACAAGAGATCAAAATCTCAAATTGATCTTTTAATAATTATTTTTGACAGGTAATATAAACATTAACTGCTTAACTCTGATAAGGCAGTTGCAGAAAATCCACAAAAAATCTTATGTATCAGATTCAATGTTCACTAGAGACAGGATAATTAAATTAAATTTGCCAAGATTTAATGTTCACTCTTCACAGTAGGTAGGTGTTCACTATAGGATTGTACTTTAACATGGGAGTCAATGGGGGAAAAAGGTTTTGCCGAAAAAAAATGTTCACTGTTGAAAGCTGTTCACTAGAGAGATGTGTTCACTAACACAGGTTTTACTGTATTACTATTATACTAAACCATGATTTATATGAATGCTTCCATGTAATGAATCATTGCTAAAAAGATACAAAGAAAAAAAGACACAGAGATGAGAGTCAAATATATTTATGAGAAGCTGTTTGTCTAAGGCTGACATTGCTCTAAAACACAATATTTGGACGTACATTTGTGTATATTACTCTTATATTTTTATACAACTGACAACATGATTATTGGTTCAATATTAAGTTTTTTTCTGCGTAATATCAATAAAAAACAATTTAGCTAAAAAACAAAATAGGTAGAGCCGGATTCGAACTTCGACCTATCGCGTGACAGGCGTCAATTCTGACGCAAGACAACCAGGGTAATTGTTATTCAATGGAAGTGATTTAATGCATATGACTTTCTGTCTTCTAATCAATATTCTAAAAGACCACGTGCAGTATGGCAAGTGATTTTAGACGGTCATATCTTTCACCATGTGTACTTTCTGGGCATAAATACAGTGGTTTTTATTAAAATAATATGTTTTCTTTCAAATGAAGTACCCATGATGATAAAAATATCAATCCAACTCTCTGAAAAATTATGGATTAGGGCCCCACCCTGGCACTTTTTTGAAAATGTTAGGCTTATTTTCTAAAAAGAGGATCTTGCTTTTCTCAATTTAAACATATCAAAAGTTTTTTCTACACTTTCTGAATAATTTCTGAAAAGGGGATGCGTATTGAAATGCGTTAAAGTTAAAAACCACATATCCCATGTTATTTTCCCATAGGGAAAAATCGTGCTATCCATTGTTTTCAGCATCATTTTGGTCATCGAAAATTGATAGCTTCAAAACTAGACTTTCAATACAATTATATTTTTGAAGATGTTTAAGATCTTTTCATGCAATAAGAATCAGAAAAGGGAGATCCTCTTTTGAGTAAATAGGTTCAATATTTGGAAAAAAATGTTGACACATTCATAATTTTTCGATTTGTTCGATTGATATTTTTATCATCATGGGTACTTCATTTGAAAGAAAACATATTGTTTTAATAAAAACCACTGTATTTATGCCCAGAAAGTACTCATGGGGAAAGATATGACCGTCTAAAATCACTTGCCATACTGCACGTGGTCTTTTAGAAATCTTCAAAAATTTGTTTTACAGGCGAACTTCTGAGCAATTGAAGGAACAATCATCATAATAACACCTTTACGTGAGTATTTCTACACAGCATTTTCTCCATTTGTTCATTATTGTATATTCTCTCATTATAGCTCAAAATATCACTAGCTACCTTGGAACAACCCATCATTGCTTTCTCAAAAGAGCCACAGCTTTAACATCCCCGATGATCTAAAAGGTTGATAATTTACCTCAAAATAATTACCCAATGTGAAGGGAGTTTACGGTTTAGCATCTGGGCTAAACATCCAAGATGCATTGTGACAAAAATATATGATACTAAATGTTATTGATGTGCCTTAAGCTACTTGTAAAACTAAAAGTTGCTAAGTATACCTTTAACTGAAAGGAACCTGCAGCTATAAAATGGTCTAGATCTATTGCACAAGACAGGAAGCCAGCAAGTATACACTCCAACACTTTATAGTTATTGCGGAAATCTAAGTCTACACACACAGCCCAAGATAATGCACCGATTGCTCCATGAGTCGCACTGTCAGCTAATGCTTTTGCCCATATATGGTCCTTTATGATATTCAGGGTAGGCAGGAAGTTATCACCTACGAGGCAGACAGTCCATAACATCAATTCGTATATTACCAAATATGGTGTTAAGCCACAAGGTAACCACATTTCCTGGAAAAAACAAATAATATGTGATATACATGGAATTTGTATTTTACTTTATTCCCTAGTGAATCCTTTATAGCTGAATTATCTATTCCCTGTTATCAAGTTTACATCGTAAAATAATCAAGTTCAAGTATGTAAAGGAAAAAGGCCAATGTAAGGCTTTAATGTAAAGGGGGTAGGTACAAAAAAATCTGAAGCAAATGCGTGATGTTTTTTTGGAAGTTCTTCTACAGAAATATTTTTGCTTGACAATTATCAGGTAAAATCAGATGACTGCAATTCCTTCAGCGAATGTATAATAAATACGCAAATTGTGGGACAGTTGGACGGCCTGTATTATATTGCAAGGCCTGACATGACCAAGGTAATGTTAAAATACATTGCAATGCCTGCTATGACCATGACAATGAAATATGGTATTGCAAAGCCTGGCATGACGGGATCACCTCATTGTACAGATGCGCATTATACCAAAACCCATTATACCGACACGCATTGTACTGAAAACCAATATACCGATGCGCATTGTACCGAAAAACCAATAAACATGATAAACCAATGCGCATTGAACCAAATTCCATGCAAGTTGTACCGAAAACCATTACTATATACCGACAGTCCGACACCATGATTTTGTGATGTAAAAAGGCTTGTAATGGAAGATGAATGATAAGTATAATTGAAAATCATGCACATTTAATCAGGAAGACCAGGCAAGAAATTGCAACAGAATACCAATGTAGCATCTTCATTCACTCGGCTCCCGTCGAACGCAGTGAAGACCGAGCGTGCGAAGATGCTAATCTAGTATAAGCTTGAAAAAGAAAATGTTCCCGTTCTACCGATAAACCCAGATAATTGTGGATTCAACTACACGAAAAGAATGTTAAAATACCAAGGAATCTATTGAAGTAGGTATCTTTAAGTGTAATAGTTCAACAAGTTAAACCCAATACCACAGCTTTTATTTATTAATCTGAATGTTCTTGTTGCCGTGATTGGGTTTGACTTCCGTGCTATGCTTTCATTGGTAGCAAATTCTCACTATCAGTTATTAATAAAACGCGCATGAAATTCCATGCACTGCCATAGGCCATCATTAAATTTTTTGCATCAAGGGCCGAATAGGCACGGATGTTAACCTAGGACGGGCCACAAGATATGGAGATGAAGATATGTCAGATGAGAAATAAGGCCCAGACAAGGTTTAACTTGTTGTACTCTAAGTGTAAGAGGCGTATAAAATTCTCCCATGTTGTAATCGTACAGACAAAAGATTCAGACATTCTCAGGACTATAGTCCTGGCACGGGATAAGGTTTTCACTTCCTGTTTTGTCATTTCATGTTAGTATACCTAACTACAAAAATAAGTCATAAATGACACATAAAGGCAATGGTCGCGCCAGGCTTTCACGATAACACTACCACGGTCATGGCAGGATGCTTGCACAACTTAAAAACACTTAAAAACATGGTAACGGTTGTACCAGGCATAAGTCTTGCAACAGATAGGGTCTCAAAAGTACACATGGTGTATTGATGAGAAATTTTTGCTCAATTTTACATTCTAAAGAAAAATTAACACTCAATTAATAATCTGAGTACACTAAAGTACGTTTTATGAAAAAAAATGAAAGGCTTAGGCCGTGTTTTGAACGAGTAATGTTCATCTAAAAGTGAGAGAAGCAAATCATGGTCATCAAAAAGCTACAGTTGGGGACAAAAATAAATGACAGGTCGATTTTCGATCACCATTTCCTAATTATGGTGGTCTGAAAGCCCATAATTTCCAATATTGTCTAGATACATATCCCTTAAAATTTGTATATTTTACATTTTGTATAATCTCATCCACTGATTTATGGCCTCTTGTAAATTCTCTTATTTTAACATGGGAAATCCTCACTTCAGCAAATCCACCTGTCATTTATTTATGTCCCCAACTGTAGAAGGTGCAGTCTGACCTTACTTCTATTTGCAAGCGATCTATCACTCACCTGTTCTCTAGGTATGCATTAGACCTAGTCTCAGACCATTTACTTCTGATATAAAACAATTTGGGATTAACATTAAACGTAACATTTAAGGAAATTCCTTTTCAAAAGTGAGCGCTTCCTGAGGTCGTGTCACTTGTTTGTTTACAATAAAAGTGGGTCAATGTCGCCTCAACACGAACAATCAACTTCCGGTTGGGTGTATTGTTGTAAGCGGCAAACATCGAATTTTATGAGAAATTTTGATTCTACTTTTACTTCTGTTTCCCATGAATGTGCAGGTAAATCCGTTTGCAGGGATGAAATAATTTGTGGAAGCAGTATCCGTCCTGTGGTATGTGTTGTAAAATTAATGAATTGTTTTACTTTTTTCTTTGACTCAAAATCTTACTCAAAAGGCATAGGAGACAGGTTACCTGAAAAAGGTACAAGAATGAAGAAAAAGTTACTGTGTCTCAGTCAGTCAGTGTCACTCATGGACAGATTTGAGGCCTACATTTTTAATTATAGCTGATTTGTGAGCTTGGTGTCATCATCTCTGCTTTATCCCTGTGTTGCGATTTCTGCGTGCCATGGTATTTACGTAACAGTCTAGCTTCTTCAAGTGCTCCGTCATTGTTACAACACAGCGTAATAACTTAACCTTCACAAGAGGCTTTAGAAAAGTAAAGCAATATGATTGCCACCTTTTAAATTTATATTTACAATTTGAATTTGCAGTTGAAGTAAGGATGTCTGAGGTATTGCCATTAGGATTCATAGCTAATATAGCAACAGTACAAAGTCTGCTAGATCACCTGGAATCCAACGATGCCCCCAGAATTATCCAAATGCTACGCACTGACCTGTTCACTCCTGTCAGTGAAGGAGTTCTACTCAGGCTCGTGCACGATTACCCCAGTCAAGTCACAAACAAACTTCTTGTTGCATTAGTTCCCCCACATATCCGAGAACTCGTCCTTAGAAAATGTCTCAATATCTCCGCTTCAGGTCTTGAGAACGTGCTTCGAAAGTAAGTGTTTTGTGATTTTGTTTCTATGCGTTTCCTTATTGACTTGAAGAATGGGAAGATCAGATTAAATAATGAAATGCATTTGTTGCATTATCAAGCAAAATGTCATTAGTCTCAGGATTTGAATATACCATTGGAAAGCAATAAGAAAAGGGTAAAGTTTCAGAAATAAGGCTATGATATCCATACAGAGGTCTACTGCTAGTTGAGTTGAGTAAATAATACTTTCATGAACAATGAGCAATTTTTGACTTTTTTCCAAAATTTGTTAATGGGGACCTATTAAAATCATGAAATGAAAATTGATTCATCTTTATCACAATCTAAAATAATGGAAATACTATTCTCTGAGTATTTTTCCCTTGCGATCTAGTTTCGCACTTTTCGCGATTGTGTTAAAATCGCGAAAATTAGTCATCTTGAAATTGTCAATTAAATCCCTGGGGATTTGTGAAATTTTTTAATTTCCTGGGACTCCATTGCATTTTGTGTTTTGCAAAATGTTTGTCAAGTGTTATTGGGCGATAAATGGGATACTAAGTAACAACCCGGTATGTTTGATACAGTGGCTTTTCAAATAAACAAAAAATGACGATGTAATAGAGGTTAAGTTGCGGCATGTCGTTGACCAAGATGACATAGTATTAGTTGTACTTCGTGAAATTTACAAAATTTGATAGCCGCGAAACCGTCTTTTCTCAAAATTCACAAAATTAAAAACTTGCGAAATTAACTGGGAGTACAGTAGTTTAAGAGCTCTTCTAATTAACGACATGGGTATTTATTGCTTCTTTGTGTTTTAGTTCCATTATGTGAATCCATCCATCCTGTTGTTAATGGATGATGGTTTGTGGCTTTTGCTTTGGGGTTTACTATAAATAATCTGTGGTCAGAACTATCATCTTTGCTGGGTGTCCAAAAATTAAAGTACAATGACTTTTATATATTTTTATACAGTAAACTATTATTTTCATAAACATCAAAACAATTTAGCCATTCAATATCCTTTTTTCATTTAATCCTGTATTTGGTCACATATTTTTAAAAATAGTCCTTTATGAATACACCATTGGAAAGCCATTGGCCATTTTTAGTCCTTTACACCTTTATCCATCTTTTCTGTAAAACAAGGCAATATGATGCTAACACTACTGTAAAATTTGTCCAATCCAAGCTGTGGCTGGCCAAAAGTGTTCTAAATTGGCAAGTATTCCATATTCCTGCATATTTGAACAATTTTTATTCTGTGTGCAGATGCCCACATCTCAACAAACTGGATCTGACTGGTTGTGACCATTTAATTCTACCCAGATGTTTTAAGATGGCTGGTATCTTGGCACCTCAGCTCACGTCATTGAGTGTTGAAGGATGCCCCGCAGTATCAAACCACATTGTAAAGGTATGAAATAAATTCCCCCCCGCCACCACATATTATTTTCGTCTGATGCTGCACTCAGTTGAGAGTTTTGATACTTCATGATATCTTATGATTTTATATTTTAAATTGCCTCACCTATTCAACATTGCCTCATCTATGTAAAGCCTCACTTATTTAAATTTGCCTCGCCTGTATACAGTTGCCATGTCCATTCAAATTGTCTTATCTACTTAAATTTGCCTTGTCCATATTACACTCTACTATACCTAACCCCTAGAAATGCATAAGATACTTTGTTTGTCTAACTGTATTGTTAATTAGTACCTTATTAAAATCTAACAGTCGTCCTATAAACCATTAATAAAGAACAGACAAATAAAAACAAATAACATAATCATTAATAATAAGCCAAATTGGTTGTTCATGATGCAATGCAAGGTTTAGTAGAGTTGTATCAAGTTACCTCACCTATTTAAATTCACCTCATTTCCAGGTCCTAGCTCGCCTCTAATTTTAACAGAAATCGTATATGCTTTCAGGTTATCCTTAAATGCAATAGAAACTTGAGACATCTCAACTTGTCATGCTGCGACAATATCACTGATGACGTGTTTCTTTTAGATAAAACCACACAACTGTTAAGGAGCTATAAACATTGGGTAAGAATAAGTTCATGGTCATTTTTGATGATTTTGGGCATATTGCATTCATAGTCTGTTTTGGAGTGGCTTGGAAATACAAATACATGTACATGCTCATTGTGTTTATAGAATGATGATGATTTTCCATGTAAACTGACGTACCAGTGTTGATATCTCCCAGTTTGATAACATTACTAGTCTAGCAATACGACACCTAACTACACTTAATGCGCCATTGCGCCTCATCTTCAACATAACAGTTGACTCTCCCTTTAATGACTTATGGTTTGTAATTATAGAATGGTGATGATTTTCCATGTAAACTGACCAGTGTTGATATCTCCCAATGTGATAACATTACTAGTCTAGCAATACGACACCTAACTACACTTTGTGGGCCTCATCTCCAACATGTAGACATGGCCTGGACTAGTGTAAGTATAAGCTCATATTTATATACTAGTACTTATTTTCTTATGACGGTGGTTCCTGGATATTAGGTTGTATTAAACATATTAAAAACATGAAATTATGATGATTAAAATCCGGAAGTGCCTACTGCAGTTTGAACAAAATGTCATAATAGCCGATTCTCTTTAGTAACACCCTGTATTGCAATTTCTATCACAATACATGAAAGTACATCATGTAAAAATTTGAAGACAATTGGTGCATATTCAACAAAATACCAGCACCAGTCCTGTTACTTTTGGAACACCCTGTATATTTTTCTTGATTTATGAGTACAGTAAAACTTGTCTAACCCAAAGATGTTTTCGACCAGCCAAAAGTGTTTGGATTAGCAGGTGTTCACTTTTTAAGGTTTTTTATTAAGTAAGAATATGGTAGATTAAGGAAATGGGACTGAAAGAGTTCAAATTGATAGATGCTCACATCAGAAAGGTGTTTAGATATACAGGTTTTACTGTACTTTTTTTTCAAGTAAAGATACTAAGTCAAATGAATATTTATGGTTTTTACTGCAGGTTGATTGGAAGTGCAGTAATTGAACAAAATGTCATCATAGCCTATTCTCTTTAGTAACACCCTGTATTGTAAATTTAGTATTATGGATTCAGTCAAATGAGTATTCATGTTTATTACTGCAGGTTGATTGTACAGCATTGTGGTATTTGGCTGGTTATAGTCTGGACTCTGCTGCAAAACTAGTCTCAGTTGCTGAAAAACACAAGGATGTCAACATCAACAGTGTTGAAAGTCTTTCAGAACTCCTCGAAAAAGTTGAACAACCAAACCCTAAAGTTAATGTGAGTCGTACTCAGAATCTAGAACAGCATGTGGATGCTCTGTCTACTGATGCGGGTGTCAGTGACAAAACTTCATATGATGATAGTGCTGACCATGGCCTCGCTATGGGTTATGATGAGATGGACAACGCTATCAATGATGCTGGGAATCCTATAGGGATTGATACTGAAAGCATTGAATTGGCAGGTAATGTTAATGAAACAAATACTGCTAGCGCCCATTGTGAGACTAAAGCTCTTGACCTTGAAGCCAGTCATAGAGACAACAATTTAGAAGAGTGTACCACGGAACCTAGTCATACTGAGAATACTGAAACATTCGTTAAGGACATAAGTACTGATGGCACCAGTAAAAGCATAGATCTAAATGACATTGTTTTTGACTGTAATGAAAAAGAGAATGCAGTCAGACACAATAGCAGTTTAGATGCACAAAAAGAAAGCATCACATTTTCTAGTGATAACAAGGATTCAATGGAAAATAACCCTAACAATGGTAGTGATACTACATCTGACTGCAGCCCAAATGATACATCACAGGACCAAGATATTACTGATAACTGTGTTCATAGATATGTTAGTAACATTCTTAAAACTGCTGTTGAAAGTCTAGTTACAAAACATAGAACAGATGAAGGACTTAATGAGAAGTCAGGTAATGGAAATGGTAACAGTGAAAGTACCAAAGCTTTTGATGTTCAAGATAAAACTGCTCAAGCTAAATATGCTCAAACTGAACTAACTTCATCCTTCAGCAAATTATGTGATACTGATGATGCATGTAATGATTCAAATGATGAAATAAGTGAAACAAAAGACACTGAATGTGAATTCAAAGACACAGTTGGTGTTTCAAATGATACCAAAAGTGACTTGAAAGACGATGCATGTAATGATTCAAATGATGAAATAAGTGATACAAAAGACACTGAATGTGAATTCAAAGACACTGTTGGTGTTTCAAATGATACCGAAAGTGACTTGAAAGATGTTGCATGTAATGATTCAAACGATGAAATAAGTGATACGAAAGACGCTGTTGGTGATTCAAATGATGACATAGGTGATTCAAAAGACACTAAAAGTGACATTGTAGGTGGTAATTTAGATGCCATGACCAGTGATTCAAAGGAGACTGTAATTGATTCAAATGATCCCACCCTTGATTTAACAGACATTGACTCCAAACTACTTAAAAACAACATCACTAAAGTACAACAGCTCTACAAACCTTGCCTCAAATCTGTCAACCTCTGCCATATAGAATTCAGTGATAGAAACATGTTGCTGATTTCAATATGCATAAAGACATTTATACGGGAGAATCGGGACATTGAGAGTCTGTATATATCCTGGAGTGGTCTCCATGACAACATGTTGCAGTATTTAACCAATCACACTGAACATCTAAAATTCCTAGATTTGGTGAGTATGTATTGGCCTATCAGATATAATAGGTGGATGAATAAATGTGATGGAGTAAATACAGAAACAAATATAATTAATTTATATATATTTATTGACATACTTTTTCTCATCCTCCGATCACAGGGCTTGAAAATCCAGATTATAATCTTTCTTTTTACCCCCTGCGATAAGCAGTTGTTAGCATTTCACCAATTAAGAATTCGCAATCTGATTGGCTGTCGCAACACTGCAACAGAAATCATGTATAAGTCATTGCGCATAATTAGATCACGTGCTTCAGTTAAATCGGGCGCGTCCAAATTGGTTATAGCAGGGGGAAGAAGGAGGTACGGATTCTGGACACCTGCTTAGGAGGATGACTTTTTCTAGGCCTCTAGGAAGACCAGTTTTTTTTCTACTATATAATAGACATTGTTCAAATCAAATCAATCCGGAAGTTTTGTTATCATTAATCATATAAATATATTTTTCGTATAATTGGCTAAAAAATATTAAAATGTCCAGAATAACTAATACCTGTTATTCATTTTACATTTTAAATTTCTAGAGTGAGTGCACAGGACTTTATGATGGTATAGCCAGTCAGGGAATAGCCTCATTGGGAACCAGATGTCCCAATATACAGCATCTGATTCTGAGAGGTAAATCCGTATTGCGATTAAATAAAGAAGTGAACTGTAATGTCTAATCTGAGCGCCACTGGAACCAGCCAAGTGTTTGACTTTGTATAAAAAAACTCCTACCTCATACCCACCTACCCACGTACGTGGGACATGATACAGTCTTTGAAGGGTTCAATTTTAAAGATCTTAGTTTATTAAATCTTAGTTTATGATGAATTATAGATGCATTTGTAAGGACCCTTGATAGCAAGTTGCTACTACATCCCAGCTGGATTCGATTCCCACTCGGGGCATTTTGAGCTATTTTGAGATGTAATAATGTTTCAAATTGAACTCTTCAATGACTGTTTCATGTTCCACATAGATGGGTATGAGTTAGGAGGTTTTTTATACAAAGCCCAAGTGTTTGGATTGGTAGGTGTTCACATTTAGAGGTATTTCTAATATGGATGTCTATATTGAAAAATGGAATCAAAAATGTTCATGTTGAGAGGTGTTCAGATTTGAGATTTGAGGTGTTCATATTTGAGGTTTGAGGTGTTCAGATTTGAGGTTTGAGGTGTTCAGATTTGAGGTGTTTGGATAACTCCGAGTTTTATGGTACTTTATGTGCCAATTCAGGAAAGAAAGAGCTAATTATGGCTATTCTATGGGAATCTGTTCAAAAATGTTTTGGTTGCATTATTTTGTCGCCATTACAACATTCTGATACCACAACAAGAAGAATTCTTAAGTGTCCGCTAGCATAAAGACACAAAATTGGCCTTTAGATTACCCTTGGTGTCCAGGGGCGTAGGAAGGTTTAAATTCAACACTACGCCAAAATATGAAACATATTGCGTCTAATTTTCTATATCAAAACGCCTTTTTTATGCTCGTAAAACGTCATTCTATGGCAATACCTTAGGCTAATATAATGTGCTTAAAGATTCTCGCAATCTTTATCCAATCAGCGTTTGCGTGTGTGTCGGCTCACGTATAAAAGGCGAATCCAACTCAAATCCATGCAGGGGTGAATGAGGTACTCGAATAGGAAAGAGCTCGTGAAATCTGAATTTATATGCACATGGTCAATGTTTACACATGTTTGGAGTTATTGAAGAAAATGTGATATGGGTGTGGTTCCGAATTTGAAGTCATTGCTGGAAAATATGATTTTAATACGTGAAATTATATCTATAAATACAGCACTAAAAATAACAGTACACATGAAGTACATGTATGATTGTGTTCAGAAATGTTTGAAACCCTACGGAAAATTCTGTCTGCATTTTGTCACCATTGCTCTTTCTTCCCGCATTCTAGTGCTGTTTGAATGAATATATTAATTAATGTATTTCTGACTAAAATATATCACTTTTTTTTATAAACCACAAACATTTAGACCATAAAAAAATTATTCAATACTTGAGTGAGCACGATATGCAAGGGTTACTAAGTTGACACAGTAAATGACCACTGATATTGTGTTAGTCCATGCACCCCTCACTTTCATAGTGAAGTGACTAATTGGTTTATGTTTCCGTTTTAATGTGTTTTGGGTTCCTTGTTACAGCAAGGGGAGCCAGTAAAGTAGACTAACATGTTTGCATGGCAAGTTTTGATCGAATATGTGAGACACTTTAAAATGTTTGAATGTTTTCATAATATAAAATCACCATGGAAAGTCGATCTTTTAAATCTTGACACAACTCATTCTCACTTTTCTTAAATGTTATTTTTTCGAACGATATAGACGACTTTCCTGATAACATCATAGGCGTAGCCAGGGGGGAGGTGCGATTGATGCATCCCCCATAACCAATAAAAATAAAACCATGAGAAAGAAGAAGAAAGGAGCTTTTATTTGAAGCTTCTACCTCAATTTAGAAGGAAGTTGCATCAATTTTTTTATAACACTAGATCGCATGACAAAATAACACCCCCTCCAAAAAAGCTGAAATTGTACTTTATGTACTTTCAAGGATAGGATTTATCGCCAAAACTCATTGAATTCAATGGAATGTGAAATTGAATAATCAACAATTTCAAGTTGTTTTTGTCTTTAACATTCATATTTCAAGAAGTAATATCAATGACAATAAGTAAGAAAATAGATAAATATTGTCCAAGCATTACGGAACATGCACAAAAATGCAAAGGCAGTCATCCATGTCATCAGGTAGAAAAAAAAACTTTCTTCTCTCAAACTCGTACAAGAGAACGCGATTCACGAATATTTTGCGAAATTGTAGTTTACTTTTAAAATTCATAAGATAGTCAATAGTGTCTTGATTTTTTTGAAATAAAGCATGTTGGTCAGGGAATTCAATCTGTTCAAAGATTACTTACCAAACAGAGCAATAATGATTACTTTGCATTTTCTACAGTATTAGAAACAAGGCTACTTTCAATATTTTAAAACTAATTCAATATTATATGAATTTCATTTCTCAAAAAGTGTCATTTATCTGTGCCACGATTAGAAAAATAACAGAGGAACAAAAACCTTGCAAAAGAGTACTATTGAAACATCGAGCATAATATAGGCCTATGGTATTCAAATAACATTTTTTAGGCTAGTGTGCTCGAGATAAACTTATGCGCAATGAGAAAATATCACTGAAGAACATAGTAAAATTAATAAGCCTTTTTTATTTTCACTTTTCAACACTACGCACTGGCGTTTTTGCGTACATTGTTCCTACGCCACTGGTGTCTGCTGTCCAGTCAACATCCAACTTTACATTGAAAATTTGCAGACATTTCCATATGGTTAGAATTATTAAGAGTGAAAATAATTGACAATTTTATGTTTTAGGGATCAACTTTATCAATGATGTAGTACTTCTCCCTTTGTTGCCAAAATTGCGACTCTCGACGTTGAGTTTATCAGAAACTGATGTGACTGATAGAACGCTTTTCCTCTTAGCGAGATACCAGAGTAAAATTGTAAGTTTAAGTTTCACTAATTATCTCAATATTAATATATTGTTAGAGTCAATTATGAGACGTTTGTGTTCTGAGTAAGTGTTCTGTGGTTTTGGCATCTGTGACACATTGTCACATTTTTGTAACTATTTGCAATACATTACCAAATGGTGACATTTTGTCATGGTAAAGCTTTTGTACTCAGTTTACTCATGGACTTTCAATTAGTTGAAAACCCATGGTTTACATGACATGATGCATCCCATTCAGCTTGGTCCTATTATATAGAAAAGTAAGGGAAGATAGTTTTATAGAATAGCTTTTTTCTTGAAAATTTTAACCAAAATTATAAAAATATAATCAAGATTATAAAAATTATATTGTAAAAAATGGTGAAAACAGGTTGCCATCATTGATAGTTTGATCCCAAGGTAAAAATGTAAATGTTTTATTTGCCTTCAGTTGACCAACCTGGACCTATCGTGGTGCGAAGAATTGACGGAAACCGGGCTGAATGAAATTGTGACAAAATGTACCTACCTTGAGGTTCTAAGTTTGCGTAAGCTCCCAGCCTCCAAAGTCACACTATTCAAGATGGCAAAACATTGTCGTTACCTGAGTAGCTTAAATCTATCAGGATTAAGGGGGATAGATGACACAGCAATCGTTAGTTTGGTGTCAAGGTTACCTCAGCTAGAGAAGGTTGATATCAGCTGGAATTCTGGTGAGACTTCACATATGCTTATTATAATGCCTGACAGTCCCTTGCACAGCTCCAATAATAGTAACTCATGAGACAATGATTTCATGCGGCTGCGCATTAGACTGTTTCATGCTTATTTCATGCATTTTCTCTCTTTAACCACAAATCATTTATTGGGTTTCCTTGGGGGAGGGGGAGTGTGTACAGTAAAACTTGTTAAATGTGAACTCCACTGGCACCAAGATTGGCAGGTGTTCACATTTCTTTTAATTAAGTAGTTGTTTTTATGTTAAAATAACAAATTGATTAAGTTTTGCAATATAATATATATATTGCAGTTTTCACCATTATTGCAATATAATATATATATTATATTGCAAAACGAAATCAATTTGGACCAAAATTGTCACAAGTGAACCCCCCCTGGAATTTTTCAAAAAGTGAACCCCCTTGGCAAATCCTGGCTACGGGCCTGATAGCATTCACTTCAAAAGATGAGAGAGGCAGGCCTCTAGCCAAGGGGTTTTCAGATCTTCAGATATATAGGTTAACTGTGTGTTGAACTTTTGTTCTCTAGGTGTCACAGATGCATCTATCAATGTGCTGTTCTCGAGGTGCAGCAAACTAGAAGAGTGTATTCTGTCTGGTATCAAACTGATTACATCTAAACCATTGCTGCACATTATAGCAAGTAAGTTCCTTTAATTTTTGAATTTTTTTGTCTGGACCGCCCTCCCCCCACCCCTGCGAATCTACTTCACCATTTGTGGGGAGATGTGTAGTGGGTCTCACAAGGGCTTGTAGCTAGACTACTCATTCTTCCAGCTTTTACATAAAGATGGCAGTAACATGTCAAATTACGTCTTCTGTTTTTATGTCACCATCACACGTGATGACATTGCATATTGTTACGATGTCACCATCACACGTGATAACATTGCATATTGTTATTATGTCACCATCACACATGGTGACAAATTGTTATTATGTCACCATCACATGTGGTGACATATTGTTACTATGTCATCATCACACGTGGTGGCATATTGTTATAGTCTCCAACTTTTTGTGGATGGTGTTTGGCAGTTAGAGTTCAGCGGTTGGTCTTAAGCATCTGTAACAAATGGCAGATGGTGACATTTTGCATGTTAATGCCTTGTTTATATCTGCCTAAAACGTATGATTTTTCATTAGAATGTATAGATGGATCAATCTATGTCATATTTTGTAAAGTTTCTAGCCATCATTTAGTTTACACCCTATACTTAGTGATCACATCAATTTCGAATGGTACTCGTTGTAAAGACAAGCCATGATGACTAAAAAAAACCTAAAATTGGTATACACCTGAATTAACTTCAAAACTATATATATTTCAATGACCATATCTAATATTTATTTAACTAAATGAACACTAAATTCATAGTAGATAAGATTCATATTTTAGCAGATAGAATTCAGATTTATATGTAAAACATTAAATGGCTAAGAATCAACAATTTCTTAAAGTATTTATTGGATAACATAAATAAATACCTTATGTATCTCAATGTAAGTATACAGGCAAATTATAATGAGGCCTTGTTACACAGTTACAGGGATTGTTAAGTTTCATTGTAAAGAGGCTGTTAAGTCAATGGAGCTCATACAGGCTTCGATGTAATTTGCCCGTGTAAGAGGGACAGGGTTGTCAAAAAATTTCAAGACAATTTGACAGCTCTTATATTATGTTATTCCATCTTTTTCTAGATTATAACAAGTGGTTCAGATGTAAAAAGCTACTACAGTTGAAACTTCAGGAGAGGAAAATCTTAGGAGAGGATGAACATTATTCCAGTGATGAGGTAGGTATTGCTTATTTACTGGGAGGTTTTGGATACAGGGTTTATCTGGAGGGAGATATGTGTTTCTCCCTAGATGCACTATATATTACATTTATTTCCTCATGTCATGTACCTAGAACCTCGGTAGGTAGGGTTGTTCAATGTCATAAATCATTTGAACTTCTAGTAACACGGTGTGAATTTCTCATATTGTCCATTTTGAGAGAAAATTTGAAAATATGCATGACTGACCATGATTTTCTTTATCGTTGAATTTCAGGTTTTTGTCATAGACATTTCTTATAACTTATAATCATGTTTTCTTGCAGGAGTTTGAAGACCTCTTCTACCCACATCGATCAACAACATATGTTCCAAATCTAAAGAAACTCCAACTAGAATACTGCGACAAAATAAATGATATCCATCTTGCCGAGATTGTTGCTGTGTGCAGAGGGTCTTTAGAAATTATTGACTATTATTCAGAAAAAGTAAAACCAAAGTGGCTGACACCTTTACATCTAAAACTGCTTCCTGGTTGATTTTTGGTTGTACATGTTAAAGATGAAGTAAATTATAACTTCTAAACCTCTATTCTGCGGACACCTCCTTAAATGGAACAGTTTTCAGAGTCGTGTTACCTATAAGCTTGAAGCGAATTGAACCTCTGTAAGAAAGTGGATCACTATTTTTGAAGTACCAAAGGCATTCCATTTACGTTTACTCTAATTAATTGTATCATTCTCCAAATGCATCCGTCCCACTCAGTTCATCTCTGCAGATGAAAAATTCAGACTTTTTGATAATATGTACTGTACATTAGGAGACATACTATAATATAAGAAAGTTGCAATTCAAGGTCATCTTGAGGTCGTTTCTAATCAAATATTCAAATTTGGTGTTTGCGAATCGGTGGGTCACTCAAAACCTCTGTCGATTGGATTCCCGATTTAAGTTATTTCTGTTCAACATCAATATGTGTGTTTTTATTCATTATTTCAATTTGTAACTTTATAATTGTAACTCTCTAGTCATTAGAGGTAAATAAATATACAATACAATACAATACAATACAGAAAACTCCCCTATGACTCCTGGTTCAAAAGCTCGCCTATTTTCAAAATGGCCGCCATTTTTGTCTCGCAAAATTCACTTTTGACCCATTTCCTAGCTTTACTAATAATTCAGGTGTCTTACTTTGTAAAAATCCATGTCAATGTAAAGAGTAGTTGTATGAAATAATAATGTTACAAAAAATCGGCAAAAAATTATATCAGTTTGTTTTTTTTTCACCCATTTTAGTTAACATTGATTTGTCCATCTGTCTTGCGAAATCCACTTTTGGACCATTTGCCTTAAAAATCTGTCAATAGGATTCCCGTTTTAAGTTATTTTTGTTCAACATGAATACAAAAAACTCCTCTATGACTCCTGGTTCAAAATCTCGCTTATTTTCAAAATGGTCACCATTTTTGTTGCACGAAATTCACTTTTGGCCCATTTCCTAGGTTTACAAATAATTTCAGGTGTCCTGCATTGTAAAAAGCCATGTCACTGTAAAGAGTAGTTGTAAGAAATAATTTTTTTACAAAAAATTAGCAAAAAATTATATCCATTTTTTTGTTTTCAGCCATTTAGTTATCATTGAATGGTCCATCTGTCTCCCAAAATCCTCTTTTGGACCATTTGCCTTAAAACCTCTATCGATAGGATTCCAGTTTTAAGTTATTTTTGTTCAACATCAACACAAAAAACTCCCCTATGACTCCTAGTTCAAAAGCTCGCCTATTTTCAAAATGGTCGCCATTTTTGTTTCGTGGAATTCACTTTTGGCCCATTTCCTAGCTTCACAAATAATTCCTCGTGTCCTGCATTGTAAAAAGCCATGTCTTTGTAAAGAGGTGCTGTATAAAATAATTTTGTTACAAAAAGCCGGCAAAAAATTATATCTGTTTTTTTTTTTATTTGTTGTCATTTTAGCCATCATTCACTTTTGAGCAACACCATGTGAGCCCAGTACCCACGGTACTATTTTTTCTGTTATTTTAGCCATCATTCACTTTTGAGCAACACCGTGTGAGCCCAGTATCCATGGTACTATTTTATTCCAAGTACATTGCAATTGCCAAAAGTGAAAACTTGCTGGCATTGGTAGTCAGGTATCTTTGAGTTTGAACGCTGGAGTTAAAGCCTGATAATGTTTAAACATTTCTTTAAATCGCCAAACATAAACATGCATGCTTTAACAGTTAACACATAATTCAGAAGGGACTTCCAGTTGTCAAACCTATGACGGGGGTGTCACTACTCTGTGTCAACTTTATTGAACATTATTCATATAACATGTATTTAATATGTATGTAATTTAAAAAGAACCAAAATAAATGCTGATTGAATATTAAATAGTGTCTATGTTTTTTAACTTTGATGCTGTTACGCGGAATATGGCATATATTCATGGTTGCGCGGTATTTGTGATACGGGTGAATATGCCATACTCACCTGCGGTATATGTCATATTCTGCAGGTGAGTATGGCATATTTCGCTGAATATGTGATACATTGATTTCAGTGAATATCCGATACTCACCTACTATGCTGGATTACCAATGGGTTAGTACCTGGATTTATTGAGTAAGTTCATTACGTGAGATTGCTGAGTGATACGGCTGCATTGGTTGATATATTCAGTGCAGTGTACTGTTTATTCAGTAATCATTATGATAATTTATACTTTTACCCATTTTGTCAATCGATGCAATTGACAATGGCGTACTTCTGAATCACGTTCTCATGGTTAGTGAGTATGCCATATACCGCATGTGAATCTGTCATACACTGAGAGTGAATATGCCAATATTCGTTGCGGAATATGACATATATTTGTATCGTGTTTACCGTGTAACAGATTCTATGATTTTAGTTCTGAATTGATTTGAGCTTTTAAAGTGTGATTTTAAATTCTTGATATTAAATAAATTCCATTGAAAAGAAATGTGGGGAAATTGGGGATGCTTTTTAATAAACGGCTAAAATCCACATAAAGTTGAGTTAACGTACAAACTGTAAACAAGGCCATGGAAATGTAATTATGTGTTTTGCATCACTAAAAACAAAAAGTCTAGAATGTTTCACATTGAGGCTTCAAAACTAAGGTTGGGAACATTACGTACATCGTCCAAAAGGCAACTATGTTTTTCCAAGTGCATTGCTCACAGTATTGCATTCTTTATGTTTCAACTTGTGAATGTTTTTCAAAATTCCTCCGAATTATAAACATAGCCTAAGATGTAAAACACAGAATGAATTTTGTATAGTCTTGCAATAATCTAAACATTTTACCACAGAAAGAGTTTTTATGTCCTATGTAATAAAGTGTCAAGATAGAGGGACGGAAAATATACTCCTCAAAAAAAGTTAAGGACCAGTCTTTTTCCTCATAGGTTTACATGTTAAACCCCATGTCTGTTTGAAAAACTAATCAGTTCTAAACTTTCACAGGTAAAAACATCCCTGAGAATTTCAAATGAATCCCTCAAACGGTTTGGCTGGAAACCTGTAGACAAGCTTTGACAGACAAGATTTTAGGACGGAAAATCCAAAATGGCCGCGTTAACATTTACCCAGAATGCCGAAAAACTAATCAGTTCTAAACTTTCACAGGTAGAAACATCCCTGAAAATTTCAAATGAATCCCACATTACGAAACACCTTGTACGTTTACTTATAAGTATACGTTATAAGTTGTACTTTATGTATGTGCGAAATCTCTCAAATGTATTAACCTAACCTATAAACACTTAAATTCTCAGAAATTAGCAAAAATCCAACATATGACTGTCTGATATCCTTCTGTGGTCCTTTGAAGAAAAATCATCCAAGCTTTATTTCTCCCTCAAAAAATTCTCATGAGTTCCAAGACACCCCGTAATATGCCTTTGTGTACAGGTGTATTACTTCTTACTTTCATTTCAGAACCAATCATGCTCCTTTAGAATTAACAAACTTTCATGTTATTTCAACTTGAATTGCAGTATTGAGATATCCTCTGGAATTGGCCAATTTTACATTCCTTGCAAAATCTTTCATCATTGAAGTGCAATACAACTTATGTATTCTGCTCGAGAAATTCTATGTTGGCATGAGACGTACCAATATTTTCTGTATTGCGACGGAGATGATCAACGGGACAATCTCAGAAGCAATACAGATATATTGGTACAGCACAAGAACTGACCAATCAGAGGGCTTCATTTTACAGATCATACGATAATATGTAGTAACTCTTTACTGTATTTTAGTAAAACTAAAGACTTTTACAATAACGCATTTATTTTTCTATTTTATGGTTAAAAGATTTAGTAATTTGGAGAATTTAAACAATATTCCCCATTTTGGGCACTTTGAATCCTTAAAAACTTCACCAATTTATAACATATCATGGATCTTGATTGGTAGGAATATATTGGTAGGTTAACCATGTTAACTACACGTTGTTTACAATTTTGTCACTCCCAATGGATCCGATTCTCCCTTTAAGCTTATGTAAATTTACAAATTCACATTTATTTGTAACATAGTTCCAAATTATTAAAGTAAATGATTATATGTAGCTGGTTTGCTTTAAGGGAAATATGATTATGTAGAACCTTTAGACATCCACTTCCCACAACTACTTTGTTGTTGGCATCAATTAATAAAACTAATGCAGTGCAGGCCCGTAGCTAGGATTTAGCGAAGGGAATGTTTTTACCAAGGAGGAGTTTTTGCCGGTGTTTTTGCACGGCGAGTCAGTCGACATGGTCGTTTAAACGAACCCACGCGGCATTAGGGGAATCCGAGAAAAATAAGTTATATGTGGTTGACTTTCCAATACTTCAGAGACCGAAATTTGGGATTTCAAGGAATACTTTTCAAGAAAATAGTCTTACCTTTCTGTTAGGATGGGTTCAGGTGCCAAAAATAACTGATCCATGGATATATATCATTTTGAAAATTGGAGGCAAGAAAAAAATAGCTTCGTTCTTTATTCATGCAAGATACACCCCCAATCTAACATGTCTCTGTGGCCTGATGGATATAAGCGCTGGGCTTATGCACCAGTTTCGATGGTTTCAATCGTGCTTCCAGTGGTTTCGAAACCCGGTTGCGCCTAAGGTTCTTTTTCTTTTTTTATTTATATCTCGGCCACAATTTTTTGTTTAAATCTCCTTTTATACAACATATTGTCATATCTTTTACTTTTTGAGGTTTTAGATTTTAGATGCATCGTTAATGTGTTACTTTAACAAGTCCTTGATTCAGTTTATCAGACCAGCATGTTCCGAATCGTGATAATAATTGTGATTGGATTATAATGAGCATTATCTGAAAATTTCTGAAAAATCACCATTTTTCTTGTGAAAAACGACCAAGATGTAATTCAAACATGGGCAGCATTCTAGTGTATAGACGGACACTATTCAAGAAAACAATATATCCACTCTGGTTTAACGAAAACATTTTACGAAATAACCAGCACGACCCCATCTATGAGCGAATATGGTGTGAAACTGTGACAATCGACATGCGTGAAAATCGACATGGTTATACCATTGCACTCAAAGCAGTGAATTAGCCATTTGTATAAATCACAGATGGATT